GTAAATAAAAGTGTAATATTATGCTAATATTATTATTAATAATACATAAAACATATAAATAAAAATTGTTATATTTATAGAAAAAATAATTTTTATAAAGTAATATATATTAGTAAAAAATAATATGATATTTTTAAAAATAAACTTTTTAAAAATATTGTTTATAATTATTATTTATAAATTAAATATTTTAATTATTATTATTTTTAAAAAAAATTATTATAAAATAATTATTAAATAGTATATAATGTAGAATTTTATTTTTAATACAATGCTATTAACAAATATATACAGTATATATATATATATTAGTATAAAATTATTATTTTATATAAATTTATATTATATATAAAATATTATATATATATATATATATAAAGCTAATATTATTAAAAAATTTAAAATTAATGTTATTCACATGTAAATATATTATATTATATATTATATATTACATAACATTTATATTGTATATAATAATATAGACTATATATTTTATACTGTATATTAAAAAATAGCAAATATATAATATCTTGTTTATATAAAATTATTTATATAAACTGAAAAATACATTATATTTTTATGCATATATATATTTATACAATATTATATATATCTATCAGTATATATATAAAATATATTTAAAAATAAATAACTAAATATCTATATACAATATATAAAGTTTATTGAATGTTATTATATAATATTTGCATTAAATATATGTTAAGATTTATTTATTTTTTTTAAAAAAAGTCAACTATATTGGGTTTGTTTGCTATCAACTGTTTTTTTTTGTAATAATAATAATATTTATAAGTAAATAAAACTTAATATAGAGATAAATGCGTGTATTTTTTGTTAAATACTGTATATTTATTTATAACATTATTATTTTTATTAGATTCTACTGTATATATGATTTTTTTAATGTAACAAAATAGACATAAAATGATATAAAATTTTATGTACAATATTATGTTAAATATATACTTGTATTATGTATTAATCAAATATAGTAATCATTTAAATGTCTATACAATAGTTAAGTATAATATTATGATAATATAGTTTATTAATAATCTAATAATACATATATAAAAAATATATTTAAATTGTTATTATATATATATATATATATATATATATATAGATAGAAAAATATTATCTAAATATTATTTATCATATATTTATTTCTATAAATATAATTTTATTTTATTTTTATTTTTTTGTAAAAAACAATATTTATTTTACTAAACATCTAATAATTGTAACTTTTTTTAAATCTAGTTTTTTTAACTAATAAAATGTTAATAATTAATATAATATATTTAAACTATTTGTTGATTGAATAATTAAAACATATTATTATTTATTTATTTTTTGCTTTATTATGTTATGAATATGTCAACAATTTTTTGTATAATAATAATTATTATATATTTTTTGTTTGTTTTTTTCTATTTGCTATTTTTGATTAACATTTTATAAACATTCAGTAAATACAGTCTTCAATTATATTGAAACAATAAAATCTTGGGTATTATATATAATATATATATATATATATATATATATATATATATATATAGTCTACAGTATGTATGTATGAATTGCTTAAGTAATTATCAGATATATAATACCCACACACACACACACACACACACAAAACTAAACTAAAGAGAGAGAGAGAGAGAGAGAGAGAGAGAGAGAGAGAGAGAGAGAGAGAGAGAGAGAAAGTAGTCGACAATAATAACAACAAAAAATAAAGTGATTGAATGAGACAATTGCTAAGTCTCTGACAATTACAAAGACAACGATATATATATGAAAAAACTGTTAGTTTTTTTATTTGGTTGGTTTAGTGGGTAGTAGTGATAGTAGTAGTAGTAGTAGTAGTAGTAGTAGTAGTAGTAGTAGTAGTAGTAGTAGTAGTAGTAGTAGTAGTAGTAGTAGTAGTAGTAGTAGTAGTAGTAGTAGTAGTAGTAGTAGTAGTAGTAGTAGTAGTAGTAGTAGTCGCTGACTAAACATATATTCATAGATAGATATTACAGTATATATATATATATATATATATACTGTATATATATAGATATATAGCAATGAATCCAATTTGATTTCTATCTCTCAAACCAATTTGCAGTCATTTTATTACTATTAACTCATTATCTCTCTCTCTCTCTCTCTCTCTCTCTCTCTCTCTCTCTCTATCACTCACTCACTCTATCTAATTATAATTTATAAGAAATAATTAAAACTAACTGATAAACTAAAAATTTTTTATATAGGATTTGCTGAAAAATTTTTTTTACACAGAATATTCTGTATTATTATAGTGGAGATAATTTAAAAAAAAGTTATTAATTATTTGTTTAAATAAAAAAAAAAAGTTTATTTTTTCTTATATTATTACAGTAATTATATATATATATTAATATATTAAATATATATTTTTTTAATTAATTTAAATACCTATTAATATTATTTTGCATTGTATTAATATATACTGTATAATATACTTTATAAATAATTTTAAATAAAGTTTTATAAATTAATTAAATTGTTTTGTTATATTTTATGTTATAATAACATAATAATTATTAACAATAAATCTAATTATTATTATTATTATTATTAGTATTATTATTATATATATAACTAATGATTTTTTTGTATTATTTAAAAATATAATATAATATATAATACTTAATAACATATTTATACTATAAAATTGTTTAAATTATTTAATAAAGTTATATTTTAGTAATAATTACTTAAAAAATAGTAATAAAGATGTTTTAATGTATATATTTTTTAAAAATATTTATTTTCTAATTAAATATAATTTTAGTCTAATTAAAAAATAATAGATACATATAGTTGTATTGATAGACAATGTATATCTATATTTAGTTTTAGTCAAATAAAACATTAAAATTACATAAAAATTATTTCTAATAATAACAAAATACTAGTTATTTTTATATAGTGTTAAAAAAGAGAGAAAATATATATTTATTTATTATTATTATTATAATATATATATATATAAAGTTTAACTGTGTGTTTAAATTGTTAATTGTATCTATGATTTTAAATATATGATTTTACATTAAAATAATATATATTATTTATTACTACAGTTACTATAAATATTATATAAACATAAATTTTTTTTATATCTAAAAATATATATATTTTAAAAATAAATTTGTATTAAATTAATATATATATATATATATAAAACATTATTAAATTAGTTTTTTTTATTTAAACAAAAAATAAGAGATAAAGTATAGACATATAATAAGTGATTGAATTGTCTGCCAATAATAATTGCGATAAAAAAATAAAATAAATAAAATATTTATATTATAAGATAAATTAATAATAATTTTTATTATGAAAATGAAAAAATTTCAAGTAATGATTGCAATATAATTTAAACCATTAAATACTAATAATACTAATAGTTGTAATAATTTTTAGGTTGAAATTTGAATGTTTTAATGTTAGATTAAAAATTATATAATAAAGTATATAAATATATATTAATATTTTGCACTTTATATCTACAATTATATATATATATATATACAATATATATATATATATAATGTATAAACATTACTAAATTAAATAAATTATTTTATTTGTTTATATAAAATATTAAATTATTATTATTATATTCTTGAATCTATATAAATACTATAATAATTAAATTATATTATGTTTACTAATAAATAATATATAATTAAGTAATATTTATAAGTTATTTTAATTTTATTTTAAGTTTATTTTAATTTTAATATTCACGTAAACTATATATACAACAAATGTATTAAAAAATTTGCAATTTTAAAAAATATTTGTAAAAAAGCTAGTGGTAATACCTTTTTAAAAGCATATCAAACTTATATTATACCCATAATTGAATATTGTAACCTATGTTTAGTATATAATTCAACACAATCTGAAAAAATTCAGAAAAAAGTGACAAAATATATCTGTATGCTAATGAATAAATTTAATTTATCATATTATGAAAGATTAAAATTTTTAGATTTAGAATCATTAGGTAAACGCAGAATTTTACAAAATTTGAAGTTATTTTTTAAAATAAAACTTTAAAAAATTGATATTCTTAACAATTGGATAAACTGTGTTGAATTCTATAATACAACTAGACATGTGATAAAATGTAGAAAAAGTGTTAATAGATTAAAAAGGTTTGATAAAAACTTTTTTGATTATAATATAAATTTATTTAACAATTTACCACAAAATATTAGGGATGAAACAAATTATAACAAAATAATTAATTTACTTAATTGTTATTTTAAATAAATATGTAATTTAAAAATAATTTTAACATATTTTATCGTCAAATATTATTGTATATTATTATGAGAATATTGTATTTCATAACAAGTATGTGAAATAAAGATTATTATTATTATTATTGTTAATTAATGATATATATATATATATATATATATATATATACAGTATATATATAATAATGGTAATAATATTATAAAATTAAATCTAATAAGTGATCTAGACAATTTAGTATTGATAATTGATTAAATTTAGTTATATATATATATATATATGTATATATATATTTCAATATATCAAAAAATAACTAATTTAACATTTTTCTATTAATAAATATTAAAGTTGCTATGATTTATGTATGAATTTATATGAAAATATTTAATTTTTTAATAATGCAATACATTTATGTTTGTGACTATATTAATATATATTTATCTAATCATATAATTTGATAATATCATGAAAAAAATAGTCACACACACACATAAATGTATTACACCATTAAAAAATTAAATATTTTTATATAAATTAATATATATATATATATATATATATTGTGATAATATTGTTAACAGTCACATAAAATATATTACACCATCAAAAAAATTTATTAATTATTATCTATATATAAATTCATGTAAACTTTATTTTATTAAACATTAATTACTGTGTAGTTGAGAGTATCTAAATAAAAAAAACATAAATTTTAGTGATTTTATAAAATAATAAAAAATATAACTCTAATAATAATGTCTACAATTAAAAATACAATTACCGATGCAGGAAAAGCAATTAATATTGCCAATAGTATGGACTGTAGTTCCGTAGAGAAAGCAGCTTGTGGTATGTTATTATTTAGAATAACCTAACCTAACCTAACCTAACTTAACCTAACTTAACCTAACTTAACCTAACCTAACCTAACCTAACCTAACCTAAACTAAACTAAACTAACCTAAACTAAACTAACCTAAACTAAACTAACCTAACCTAACCTAACCTAACCTAACCTAACCTAACCTAACCTAACCTAACCTAACCTAACTTAACCTAACTTAACCTAACTTAACCTAACTTAACCTAACTTAACCTAACCTAAAACTTTGTTTGACCAATCATATTTTAAAATATACATATATATATATATATATAAATTTTAAAAATGTGATTGGGTAAACAATATATATGGGTATATATATATAATATATATATATTATATATTATTATTGTTATTATTGTTATTATTGTTATTATTGTTATTATTGTTATTATTGTTATTATTGTTATTATTGTTATTATTGTTATTATTGTTATTATTGTTATTATTATATATTATATATTATATAATTGTATCTAGCAACAATTGGCGGAGCAATTGGCGCATCGGGAGCCACGGGTTGTCTGCAGGACTGTCTCGATGGCGGTTCAATGGGTGCTACCGTTGCCAACATTGCTAACTCCATAAGTCCCGGTTGTCTGGATCCGGGTGTTTGTAGTAAGTATTTATAAAAATTTTCAACAACAAAAAATTAAAATAATAAATATTTATAATTTTTTCCCTATTATTAGTTGCTACCGGTGTTGTTGTCGGCATAGCGGCCAATGTTGACGGCGAAAAAATCATGGAGGCCATGAAAAATGATGGCCAACAAGATAAGGATTGGGCGGAAATGTGCCCGGGYTATATTGGTGCATCGGATATTTAAGTGGATAAAAAATTGATCTGGAACAAATTAATATTAATTGATTTTTTAAATTTAGTWGCTATTATTAAATGCTATTTTCTATAATAATTTTAACATGTTAAAATTTTGTAATAATTTTAACTAGTTATTATATTGTAATAATTTTTAACTAGTTATTTTATTGTAATAATTTTTAACATGTTATTTTATTGTAATAATTTTTAACATGTTATTTTATTGTAATAATTTTTAACATGTTATTTTATTGTAATAATTTTTAACATGTTATTTTATTGTAATAATTTTTAACATGTTATTTTATTGTAATAATTTTTAACATGTTATTTTTTGTAATAATTTTAACTAGTTATTTTATTGTAATAATTTTAACTAGTTATTTTATTGTAATAATTTTAACTAGTTATTTTATTGTAATAATTTTTAACATGTTAAAATTTTGTAATAATTTTAACTAGTTATTATATTGTAATAATTTTAACTAGTTATTATATTGTAATAATTTTAACTAGTTATTTTATTGTAATAATTTTAACTAGTTATTTTATTGTAATAATTTTTAACATGTTATTTTATTGTATTAATTTTAACTAGTTATTATATTGTAATAATTTTAACTAGTTATTTTATTGTAATAATTTTAACTAGTTATTTTATTGTAATAATTTTAACTAGTTATTTTATTGTAATAATTTTAACTAGTTATTTTATTGTAATAATTTTAACTAGTTATTTTATTGTAATAATTTTAACTAGTTATTTTATTGTAATAATTTTTAACATGTTATTTTTTAAAAATAAAATAAATACTGATAGTATAGTAGATTTTAATATTATATATATATATATATATATATACTTATATAAACCTTATATATAATATTCTTAGTTTAAATAGTAATAATTTGAAAAATTTATTTTTTAAAAATTATTAAAACATTTTATTTTAATATAATTTSATAATAATTTTATACAATAAGATTCATTTTTGTTGTTTTATTATTATATTATTTTCTTTATAAAATTAAATAAATAAATAATTACTTAATAGTATCAATAAAATTGTTTCCTAATGTATTAAAAACTTTATACAATATTTAGTTTTTAATAATAATAATATTATTTTATTGTTGCTATAATTATCCAAACAAAACATACATATTGTCATTGCTATCATATTATTATTAAATTATATTTTTAAAAATTTTATTTAATAGTATATATATATACACAGTATATTTAAGTATAAGAAACTTAAACCTTAAATTAAATCATCAAAAAAAACAGTTTATTTTCTACTTATTGATAGACAAACATTATATTATTAAGCAATATATATACAGTATATATACAGTATATATACAGTATATATACAGTATATATATATAAATATATATATATAGTATAATATCTAACAACTAGTTTTAGTATTATATATATATATATATATTATTTTCTATTTATATATTATTATTATTATTATTAAAAGATTAGATACATTTAGTAGTATTATGATAGACATTGAATGTATGGATACTATATTTAGTTAGTTTTTTGTTTGATTGCAAATAAAAACATATACAGTATATATAATAACTAAATAATAGTTATTTTTATATACAGTATAGAAATTGATAGACAAAACAAAATATATATATATTAAAACTATTTATTTATTTATTGTTTTTACTTGTGTTTACATTATTAGTTGTATCTATGATTTATATACTGTATATATATATATAGTAAAWATAGTTAATATATTGTACTTATATTTGTAAAAAAATATATTAACTAATGTTRTTATAATATAATATAAATAAATATAATATTAAATATATATATTGTATATATAAACTATTTATAAAGAGTTATATATAAATAAATAATTTTATAATCTTATATATATATAAATCTTATATTTTATTTATAGTTTATTATTATTATTATTATTATTATTCTAGACTATGGCTTATATATACTGTATGTATAGTACAGTTAAGTCCATAAAATTGTTTGACAACTTTTAGATACAAGTTGTCTATTCATTGTTAGTTGTGATGTCCATTGAGATATAAGATTCACAATATATTATATATATAGATATAACTGTATATATACTGTATATATATATATATAATATAAAACCTAAATCAATGTTGCCATGGATGTGCTGCTCCCGGGCTTATGGATCAATATATATGGCTAACCAGTTCACTGCCAATTTCAATACAACCTCAATAACTACTAATGGTTAGGACATATAGATATATATACTGTATATATATATATATACTGAATATACTGTATATATAAGTTATCTAATAAATTATACATAGAGTATAACTACTATTTATTTATTTAAAAAAAATTAATTTTATTTAATAATAATAATAATTATTATTATTTTCAACAATAATTAATGTAATTAATGTCTGTTTTAAAAAAAATAATAATAATAAACATTAAAATATAAAAATAATTAAATTATTGTTTTGTCAAAAATAAACAAAAAATTTTATTTTCCAAATCTAATTTTATAAAATAAAATTAAAAATTAAAATTATTTCATTATAATTAATATAAATTATACTTAACAATAACTCTGAAAAATAAATTTATTTGTTTTATTTTAATTATTAGTTTTTAAAATATAAAAATAAAAATTAATTAACAATTCATGGTTTATATCAATTTAGACATTACTGTAAATTATATATAATTTATTTGTTTTGTTATAATTTAATAATATAAGTATAATTTATTTATTTTTGAATTTATAATATATATATATATATATATAATTTATATGTTAGTATAGTATTTTATATTATTATAAATATTTATTTTATTTTAGCACAAAAATATTTAGTAAAAATATAAAGCATTTGTTTACTATTATATAATATATTTTCAAAAAAAAAACATAAATTAAATAAATGTTGTGTAAATAAAAATATATTATACTATAAATTATATTAAATATTAAAAATGTTTTCTATTAAAATATATAATATTATATACTGTATATTGTAGTTATTATACAATTATTTATTTTAAAAATTTAAAAGGTATTTAAAAATAGGTAAAAATTATTTTTAATATTATTTTTATTATTTTTTGTAGAAAAACAATTGATTGGCAATCAATCAAAAATCAATGCAATTTTATATAATAAAAATTAAGTTTATATTATTATTGTTAGTATTTTGTGTATAAAAAATTCACTAAAAATATTATAAATATATATATTTTAAAGTAAAATCCATTAAAAACCATTAAAATATATAAGAAATATTTTATAATAATATTATTAAGTGTTTTATATTTTTAAAAAATGAATTATTATTATTAGAGTATTTTATTAAATGATATATTAGTTTCAAATTAATAAAATCATATTTATTTTTATATTAATAAAAAACAAGTAGTTTATTAAACATATTACACATTTAGTACTACATATTATATGAAAACAATTTTATAGTGCATTATATATGTTATCCATAATATATATATATATTTTTAAAAATAAATTATGTCAAGAATATTCTGTAATAAATTAAAATAAATTTATATATTATATATAAGGAATATTCATATTTTTGTTGATAATAATAATAATAATAATAATAATATTTAATAATAATTATCTTTAGTCACCAGTGGTTGTTATCAGTATATATAAAAATAGTATGTCTTATAAATAATACATTAATGTCGGTGTCATCAAAAAACACATTGCATATGCAGTTTTATGATTGATTACTATGTATGTATGTGTGTATATATATATGTGTGTATGTGTTTGTATATATATATGTGTGTGTATTTTGTGTATGTGTGTGTATATATGTGTATGTGTTTGTATATATATGTGTGTGTATGCGTATATATGTGTATGTGTATATATGTGTATGTGTTTGTATGTGTATGTATGTGTATGTATGTGTATATATGTGTATGTGTTTGTATATATGTGTGTGTATGTGTTTGTATGTGTATGTGTGTGTAAAATTATATATATATGTATGTATGTTAAGTTTTAGTTTAACTAAAATTTGTTAATTAAAAAAAAAAATCTAACAAACCATTGAAATGATTAAAAGCTATTGAATTATTGTTTTAAAGTTTGTGTGTATGTATGCATGCAATAGTTAGCTTTATAAATTATATACTGTATACTGTAGTAATATAATTTAATCCCAGTGCCATAGTATATGATTAAATAAAAATTATGCTGATTTATTAGTTATATTTAACACACACACACACACACACACACACACACACACACACACACACACACACACACACACACACACACACACACATACACACATACACACACATACATACATAAACACACACATACATGCATACACACACACAGTTAGTTATGTAAATTTATTAGATTCAATAATATATTTAAATACATAAATAAAGTATAAATTATGCAAAACTTTTATTTATCTATCAATAAGTATATAACATATATATATATAAAGTTTGTTTAATATAAATCCTAAAAAAAATATTTTGTATCATTCAGTCAAACATAAATAAAAATAGGATTCATTTTTTTTTGTTATTTATTATATTTATTGTATTGAATAACAATAATAATTGAATAATGAATTTATTATTATTATACTTACATTTTATACAAAATATTTAAATTTATGATGATTTTTATTTTAAAAAAAATTATCATGCTTATTTTGATTTATCTATTTATTTTGTTATTATTATTATTATATTTATTATTGTTATTTAGGTTTATATCAATTTTTTAAAACTTAAAATTATAAATTTTAATAATAATAATAAATATTTTATTTATTTGAGTTTAGTATTTATGAATTTAATAGATAAATAAATTTAAAATATATATATATATAATTCAAGTGTAAATTTATTATTATTATTATATTATTATTATCTTATTAAACCAAATATTATTATCAATAATTATCTGATTTATAATTTTACATAAAATAATAATAAATTATTAATAATATAATGTTTATTAAATATATTAAACAAAACATAACTTATAAAACTTTTGAATAGTTTTTATTTTATTTATAAATTTGGTATTTTTATTATATATGTATTAAACTTTTTTTAAAATATATATTTAAATATTTTTTTGTATTTAATTTATTATTATTTTGTTGTCTTTTAAAAAAAAATAATACATAGAAATGGATTATAGATATAAATCTCAATTTGTTTTGTTTTTTATTTATTTTATTTTGGTTTCAATATCTATAATATAAATCATAATAATATTTTGTTTTTTTTATTTTGAAAACAATGGATTTGATATTATTATTTTGAATATAAAATATTTTTTGTTGTTGTTATTAGATATATATCGATATATATCAATAACATGTAAATAATAGTTTTGTAAATATATATTTAAAAGTGAATTTAAATTGAATTTTTAGTTTTAAATAAAATATTATATATACCATAAAAACTATTATTTAATTTTAATTATTTTATTTAATAAAATTGTATTCAAATAATTTTTTTTTATTTAACTAATAATACAATAAATATTAATACTGTATATACTATATAATATTAGTTTAACTTAAACTAATTTTATAATAAAGTTAACATATTTTTTATATAATATTTTTTGTTATGTGGATGTAATCTATTATATATATATATATATATATATATATATATATATATATATATATATAATAAATATAGTTATAAAATAATAAATTGAGAGAAAATAATAGACAAAATCCATTTGTTTTATTTGTATCGATATTTTATTTTAACAATTTTTAAACATAGATTTTAACTATAATAATAATAATAAAAATAATTTATAATATATTTTAGGTTATATGTTAAGCTTGTTAGTCAATAATCACAAATGTTACCTTAAATATATATATATATATATATATATATATATATATATATATATATAATCATATATATAATATATAATATATAACTTAAGAGAGTTGACATATAGAAAATAGATAATAAAAAAATAAAACATAAAATAAAATTGTTATAAAAAATATATGATTTTTTCTATATATGTAATGTCTTTATATCATCATAACTCATGTCATCATTAAAACAAAAATAAAAAAATATAACAAATATAATAATAATGTTTTCGCAAACTATTAATATATATATATATTGCGAACTATGAACTATAGATAAAATAGTTAGAAAAAAATAAAATAAAACACAAAAAATCATTATTTAGTTTATATATTAGTTAAATTTATATAATAAAAAAAGTATTTTAGTTTTTTTTATTGTATTTTCAATTAATAAATATATAACTTTTATTTTAAATTGATATATCAATTGTTGATAATAAACTGTATATAAATTGCTTAATATAATAGTAATGTAATGTTTTAAACATTTTACAGAAATAAAAAAAATAATTAATGCATTTATTGTGTTTTATTTGATTTATTATAATTAAAATGTTTTTTGTTGTTTAAAAATAAAATTGTAATAAATTTAATGCAACAAAAAAATACGAAATATTTGATATTATTATTATTATAATACTTATTATATAAATTAAAATTTGCTTTTATTATACAACTGTTGTATACTTTTTTTTCATAAATAAAATATAAATTACAAGTGTTTTCAATTGAAAAAAAATTGTTATAAAATATAATATTTTTTAGAAACATTATAATTATTTTTTTTTTAAAAATAAATATTTTATTTTGAAATAAAAGGCGATTTAATATTATATACTATTTAATAATAAAAAATATAACAAATTTATTAAATATTTAATATAAATAATATAATACAACAAAATTTAATTCACTTAAACTTAAAACTTTTATACTAAACTCATAATTTATAAATAATTATTATATATATATAATGTATTTTTTGACATCACTTTTCACTATTTATTTATTATTTAAGTCTATTTTAATTTCATAGCTATTAATCATAGACTTTAAAGAAAAATATCATTTATTAAAAAATAAATTTTTAGTTATATATACAGAATATTTATATTTGTTAGTAAAAAATCAGTTTAAAAACTATATTACTGTATATATATACTGATATATATATATATATATATTGTATAATAAATTTATTAGAAAAAAAGTAATTAATAATTTAAACACACAAAAAAAGTTAAGATTACAAAAAAACAATAATAATAATAATAATAATAACAAAAATAAACAACAAATGTTTTTTGATTATGATTGAAATGTTTTGTTAGAAAATTAAATATTTATTTACACACATACAAACACATACATACATACATACATACACACACACACACACACATATATATATATATACATACACACACATACATACATATACACATATATACACAGATACATACATGGATATACTTATACACACATATATACATACATATACACATATATACACAGATACATACATAGATATACTTATACACACATATATACATACATATACACATATATACACAGATACAACCAAACAGATATTGTTACTATTGTTATAATAATAACAAAAAAAATAAATTAATAAATAAAATATAAAACCTTAAATTAATTACACACACAAACACAAAGTCAAAAAAATGGGATTGACTGAACTGCGGTCAGCAATGGGAAATTCTGCGGTCGGCTAATACTCGAATACGGTAGGTCAGATGTTGCGGTCACCAATAGAAAAGTTGTAGAGGACAAAAAGTTTATGTTGAAATGTATGGTCAAAAAAAATATCTGACCACTAGGGACCACATAAAAAAATTAAAACTTGTATTTTATAACTAATGATGCTGCGGTCAGCCATATCTCGAATATGGTTGGTCAGATGTTGCGGTCACCAATAGAAAAGTTGTAGAGGACAAAAAGTTTATGTTGAAATGTATGGTCAAAAAAAATATCTGACCACTAGGGACCACATAAAAAAATTAAAACTTGTATTTTATAACTAATGATGCTGCGGTCAGCCATATCTCGAATATGGTTGGTCAGATGTTGCGGTCACCAATAGAAAAGTTGTAGAGGACAAAAAGTTTATGTTGAAATGTATGGTCAAAAAAAATATCTGACCACTAGGGACCACATAAAAAAATTAAAACTTGTATTTTATAACTAATGATGCTGCGGTCAGCCATATCTCGAATATGGTTGGTCAGATGTTGCGGTCACCAATAGAAAAGTTGTAGAGGACAAAAAGTTTATGTTGAAATGTACAGTATATTACTGTTAATTGTATAATAAATTTGATATAATGTTTGTTATCTCAAAAAGTTTGTATAATATATTGTATATATATATATATAGATATAGCATAAAATATTTTGTTTAAAAATTTTTATATCATGTAAAACATATATATATTGAATATTATATTGAATATATATATATACAGTAGTTTATATACACATTTTATGATAATGTTTTATATATATACTGTATATTTATTTTATTGATAATAATAATTAGATATAATAGTATAATAGTATAGTAAAGCAAAAAATAAAATATTTAAAACAATTTTTGTTGTTTTTTGTTGTTGTATTGAATTTGAAGACAACAGTCATTATTATTATTCATTATTTTGATGGACAGTCAGGTTGTCGGTCAGGATGTGACTGTTTAATAGCGTCAACCGATGCCAACAGATAGTCATTGATTGAGGAAATTATCGGAAACTTTTCGACATCGACACCAAAACGTCGGGCATTGTTCACCTGCGGTACCAGACATAGGTCGGCCATTGTTAGCTGATTACCGACACAATACTTGGCACCGTTGGTTGCGGTGCTGGTGCTGGTGCTGGTGGTTGTCTGGGCTAACAATTTATCCAATAGTTTGAATTTGGTTTCAATCCAATATTTTGACCAAGCTAAACCATGATTGGCTGAATCTAATATATATATATACACACAGGGGTATCAATCAATCAATCAAATTGTTGTGATGATTGAGGACATGGACATACAGGTGCTTCAATACTGTATATATATGTATAATGTTTACAAATTATATCAAAAATTATTTTTAATTAATTTAGTTGTTTTTTTGTTTTGTTTATTATACCAGATATTTTTATAAATATAAAAAGTGATATTTTTCAAACATAATATTTGATTTTTTATATTTAGTGTATATATATAATTTTTGTATTTAATTTTTATATTTAATTTTTGTATATAATTTTTGTATATAATTTTTGCATATAATTTATATAATTTTTGTATTTAATTTTTGTATATAATTTTTGCATATAATTTATATAATTTTTGTATATAATTTTTGTATATAATTTTTGTATATAATTTTTGTATATAATTTTTGTATTTAATTTTTGTATTTAATTTTTGTATTTAATTTTTGTATTTAATTTTTGTATTTAATTTTTGTATTTAATTTTTGTATTTAATTTTTGTATTTAATTTTTGTATTTAATTTTTGTATTTAATTTTTGTATATAATTTTTGTATATAATTTTTGTAGTTAATTTTTGTATATAATTTATATAATATAATATATATATATATACAGTATATTACTTGTAATTTATCTTAGATGTGTATGTGTATGTATGTGTGTGTGTGTGTGTGTGTGTGTGTGTGTGTATGTATGTATGTATGTATGTATGTGTGTGTGTGTGTGTATGTATGTATGTATGTGTGTGTGTGTGTGTGTGTGTGTGTGTGTGTGTGTGTGTGTGTTAATAACTATCTACTTTACTTTATTTGATTAAAAAAAGCAAAATAAAATAAAAATCATAATTAAATGATAATCTCGATAGATATATCAATTTGCAAATTTTGTATAAATTGGATGCTTATGTAGGTGTGATAGTATATATATATATATATATAATTTATATAAATTATAAGTGTGTGTGTGTGTGTGTGTGGGCTAGTAGTATGATTTATTACATAACATATAAATTAACAAAACAAACAAACAAACAAAAAATATTTTAGGTGTTTATATTTGACAACAACAACAAAAAAAACCAATTAATTATCATAAAATAAAAAACAACTTTTTTGTTGGTTTTGTTTATTAATATATATAACACTTACTGTATATATATATATAACACATTACTACCAGAAAAAAACAAACAAAATAAATAAAAAAAAAGATTTATTTAATATTCAATTGTTAAAAAATAACCTCATAAACCTCAACAAACAAAATATACAGTGAATACTACTGTATATAAAATTTATATACAGTAGTATACTATACAATATATGACATTTAATATTATCATAAAAAAAACTTGATCCCAGGGTTTTAAAATATTTTGTTATTTTTTCTATATAATTGTTATTCATTTAATTTAATTATATATATATTTATACCTTAATCCCATGTTTTCATATATCAATGCAAATAAACCATTAATTTAGTTAATGTGATTTAATAATAAATTAAAATATTGATGATCACTGGGGAATAGGTATGTATAATATGTGTGTGTGTTGTGTGTATGTGTGTGCATGTGTGTGCATGTGTGTGTATGTGTGTGTATGTGTGTGTATGTGTGTGTATGTGTGTGTATGTGTGTGTATGTGTGTGTATGTGTGTGTATGTGTGTGTATGTGTGTGTATGTGTGTGTATGTGTGTGTATGTGTGTGTATGTGTGTGTATGTGTGTGTATGTGTGTGTATGTGTGTGTATGTGTGTGTATGTGTGTGTATGTGTGTGTATGTGTGTGTATGTGTGTGTATGTGTGTGTATGTGTGTGTATGTGTGTGTATGTGTGTGTATGTGTGTGTATGTGTGTGTATGTGTGTGTATGTGTGTGTATGTGTGTGTATGTGTGTGTATGTGAGTGTATGTGAGTGTATGTGTGTCTATCTGTGTGTGTATGTGTGTGTGTATGTATGTATATATATATGTGTGTGTGTGTGTGTGTTTGGCTTATCATTTATATTTATAGATAGTATATAAGATTTATAACATACATATTGTATATATAAGTTTGTATATAAATTTTATATACAATACAACACTTGATAAAGTAAATGGAAATTTATTTCCGTATCTCTCACTATAAAAAAAATATATTTTATTTAATTTAATATATTTTTTGGATAAATAATTTTAAATTTTTTTGTTTATCTCTACTGTTTAAGTAAAAAGTATATTTTGTTTATAATAATAATAATAAATTTTCATTACATTTTACAATCAAAAAAAACAAAACAATACAATAATTTATTATTTATTTATTTGCCAACTAAAACAATTTTTAATTAACTAAATTTAAATATTTATATATCAAAAATTCAATAATTAATTATAATTAAAATACTAATCTTTTTAACAGTAATTACTAATAAATAAATTAATTTTGAGTATAAAAGATTTAAAATAGATATTTGTATTAAAATATTTTTTATCTTAGATTTTCAGATTTGTTTAATTAATTAATTAATTAATTCAATAAAATAAATAATTGAAATAATTATCTATTATTTACATTAATTTTTTTTCTCATAAAATTTTTAAGTTTTTAACATGAATTCATTGATTGATCAATCAATCAATTAATGTTTTGATTTATTTAATAATAATAATAATAATAATAATAAGTCATGAAAGATATCATAAGATTTTTTTTGATTATTATTATTATTTGTATTATTATTATTATACAGATATATATAAATATATTGTAAAGGCATAGAAATTGCTAACATTTTTTGTGTTTTTTTTGTTGATTAAAACTATTTTATCAACAAATATATAAAAAAAACATAACAAATATTTTGCGAAATATCTGAAATTTTTCTGAAATCATATAATAATTAAATCTATTATATTATATATATATATAAAAGATTATAAAAATAATAGTTGTTTTTGTTATCAAATTAAAATGTTTGTACAGATTTGTGAGTAAAAATATATATATAATTAAATCATTAATTATATAGTATTTAATATATTGTGTGAAATAGTTGTGTAAAATGAAAATTATTAGTAATTTTTATTTAAAGTACTATAATATTAATAATTATATTAAAGTTTAGATATTTAAATAATTTTTTTGCACACTGTTTACATGTTTGATTAATATAAAAAAATACTAATATATTTTTGAATATTTTTATTAAAAAAAATTTACAATAAATTTGGATTAAATTATATCACGATCTCAAATAAAATATTAAAAAAAATAAAATTATATAAAGTATATTAAATATTTATTTAAGTGATATTTAAAATTTACTATCTCAAAATATACAGTATAAATAAAAAATATATGTAATTTGAATAATGTGTATGTGTATGTGTATGTGTATGTGTATGTGTATGTGTATGTGTATGTGTATGTGTATGTGTATGTGTATGTGTATGTGTATGTGTATGTGTATGTGTATGTGTATGTGTATGTGTATGTGTATGTGTATGTGTATGTGTATGTGTATGTGTATGTGTATGTGTATGTGTATGTGTATGTGTATGTGTATGTGTATGTGTATGTGTATGTGTATGTGTATGTGTATGTGTATGTGTATGTGTATGTGTATGTGTATGTGTATGTGTATATGTGTATATGTGTATATGTGTATGTGTATGTGTATGTGTATGTGTATGTGTATGTGTATGTGTATGTGTATGTGTATGTGTATGTGTATGTGTATGTGTATGTGTATGTGTATGTGTATGTGTATGTGTATGTGTATGTGTATGTGTATGTGTATGTGTATGTGTATGTGTATGTGTATGTGTATGTGTATGTGTATGTGTATGTGTATGTGTATGTGTATGTGTATGTGTATGTGTATGTGTATGTGTATGTGTATGTGTATGTGTATGTGTATGTGTATGTGTATGTGTATGTGTATGTGTATGTGTATGTGTATGTGTATGTGTATGTGTATGTGTATGTGTATGTGTATGTGTATGTGTATGTGTATGTGTATGTGTATGTGTATGTGTATGTGTATGTGTATGTGTATGTGTATATGTGTATGTGTATGTGTATGTGTATGTGTATGTGTATGTGTATGTGTATGTGTATGTGTATGTGTATGTGTATGTGTATGTGTATGTGTATGTGTATTGAAATAAAACACAAAATAATAATAAGCGAAATATACTGTACTTATAAAAAAAAGAAAATAATATTTCCGTATATTTTTTCCACCATAAATAAATAAAATATTAAAGTCTACATAAAATATATTATTAAAAATTATCATAAAATACTGTAACAAAAAATATTACTAAACAAAACAAAAAATACAAAAAAAATATATAAATTTTCTATCAATAACTAACACTAACTAAAAAAATAAAAATCTCAAAAATCTTATATCACATTAAAACTTAAAAAACTAAAAAAATTAAATAATTTTTTTTTAAATACTTACCCTTATTTTCGCTACAAATTTCGTCGACTTTTTTCATAACCCCCAGATTCTGGAGCGGCTGAATACCCGACACAATAGTCAAGGCCACAGCCCTGACCTGTGCCCGCAAAATCGGGTCCTCGGGTAACAGTCGACTGCCCTGATTCGGGTACCGGTCCTCCAAATATTCCATAATAGCCATCGATTCAACCAGCACTTGGTTGTCGTCAACTACCAGTGCCGGCACCTGTAGACAGGGATTCAATTGGCGAAACTCCTCAGAGTATTGTTCAGTCTTAACCAGATTTACTGGTCTGTACTCATAGTCGATGCCTTTCAATGCCAGTGCTATAGAAATGATGTCCACAAAAATTATAATTAATTAATTAATTAAATTTAATTATATTATTATGATATTAATTAGCATTAATTATTAGTTTTCTACTTAAATAATAATAATTATTATTATTTTATTTATTTGTATTTTTTTGACAAAATATGTTTAACTTTTTTTTTATTATAATAAAACTTTTTAATTTTATATTTTAATTTCTAATTAATATTTTATTATTAATTAAATTTAATTATAGTATTATATTATTTTGTTTTGTTTTGTTGTTTAGTATTAATTATATCAATAATTTTCTACTAAAATAATAATTATTTTTTTTTTGTTGACAAAATAAAGTTTAATTTTTAATATAATAATAAAACTTTTTAATTTTATATTTTAATTTCCAATTAATTTTTTTGTGATTAATTTAATTAAATTATATCTATATATATATATGTAATAATATTAACTAATAAATTGATTTGTTAAACGTTATGTATGTTTTTACTATTTAAAAAAAAATCAAAATGTATTTATGTTTTATAAACAAAATTTTTTTTAAAATTAATACATTGATAATAATTTCTATATAAAATAAAATTTTAATATTAAATTAAATATGATATCATCCGATATATAGATATTATATTAGACATACCTGTCCTCACTCTCCACGAACATGAGCTCCGGTAGTAACTGTAGAGTATTGGCTATAGAAATACCAAACCATACCATAGATAATGATAGTTAAAATAATAATTAATTAAATAATTAGTTTTTTACATAATATTTAAATTATAACAAAAAATTACAATTACTTTGGCACTACTCATAATGTATTAAAATTTTTTGCTAATTATAATATATGTGTGGACTAAAAAAAATCACTAAAATTTTAACAAAACAATTGATAAACAATTTAAATTAATTTTAATTTAATTAATATTTTTATAAAATAATTTTTCAAAAATCAAATCAAATGGTGTCGTCTATAGCCAGTACATGACTATACTATACAATGTTGTTGTTGTCAACTACAAGCCTCCCTGAGCTTCAACAGTACAGTAAAGTTACTGGAATATATATATATATATATATATATATATACAGTATATATATAATATTAGATGCCAGGCCTTGTATATAATTTATTTTTTTAAATAAAAATGTCATATTGAAGGCCAAACAAGTTTATTATTTTTTGAAAATATTCAATATTATATATATATATAATATTATTATTATTATATATAAAGTTTAGTTTAGTTTGTAATCTGAAATAAATATCTAGAATAGTATATATATGATATTATATTTTTTTGTATTTATATTTATTGTATTTAATTAATTTATTATTATTATTTATTTATTTATAAAATTGTTGCTAACGTTTAAGCTAATTGTTAAACATTTTTTTTAATTAATAAATTAAATAAATTTTCTGTTAAATTAGTAATTATTTTGTTTATTTAGTAAATATTTTTACATTATATATATAGATATCAATATATATATCAATACAATGTATATTTAAGAGTCTCATAGATTACAAATAAATTTTTTTTTTGAAAAAATAAGTTATTAAACTAATTATCTATAAAATTTTTTTTGTTTGTTTTATTATAATTATTAATTAGTTTTTAATTGATTTAGAAAAACATAATCAAATATATTATTTTTAAAAAATAAAATATTATTTTTTTTGAAACTATTAGAAAATTATTTATATTTTGTTTATAAAGATTTATTATTTATAATATAATATTTATTTAAATAACTTTTTTTTCAACCACAAAATTAATTGAATATATTTGTTGTTGTTGTTGTTGTTGTTAACTATTTATAATTTTCAACAAAAAAACACAATTAATAACAAAATAAATTTTAAATTAGATTATTATACTTATTGTTTAATTAATTAATTAATTAAATAATTTTGTATTACACTATTTATTTGCACCATTTAACTGGTATACGTTTCATATGATTAATACACTATAATAATAGATACAAAACATATAAATATTTTAAAAAATAAAATCAATTGTTAATTATATGATAATAATGTATAAAAAAAAATTTTTTTTAATTAATTATTATTTTACTTACAAAATAATGGCAAACACCGGCCAATGCTATACAGCCAACAGTACACGGTTTGATAGTAACTAATTGGCCATAAACTACATTACCAATTACAGCACCGGTAGCTGCTTTAGCTAACGGTTCACAGGCTAGTGAATCGATATCATCGACAACAGTATATCTCCAGATTTGTGACTCCTGTTCCCAATTAATTGGTTTTTTAGGTTTAGGTTTTTCAGTTTCATCGGACATTATTATTAGTTAATTAATTATTTAACTATTAATTAACTATTATTTAACTATTAATTAACTATTATTTAACTATTAATTAACTATTAATTAACAATTAATTAACTATTATTTAGCTATTATTTAACTATTATTTAACAATTAATTAACTATTAATTAACAATTAATTAACTAATATTTAAATATTAATTAACTATTATTGTACTATTAATTAACTATTATTTAATTAATATATAAAAATATATAATTATTATATAACTAAAAATAATTTTTATAAATATTAAATTAATCCAAACATTTTAAATATTAAATTAATTTTATTTTTGTTTGTTTTGTAAAAAATTTTTGTTTGTTTTGTAAAAAATTTTTGTTTAATTTCTATATATTTTATACTTTCTATAAATAAATTTTAAAAAATTTCATTTATTTAATCAATTTTGTCTGAAGTGTTTTATTTTTTTTATATAAATAAATTATTATTATTATTATAGACTAATAATCAGTTATTATTAAAAAAGTAAAGTAAAGTACCGGTACTTATATGTAAATAATATTATATATTATTTATATAATATATATATATATATATATATACTGTATATATATTTTTTATATATATAAGTAATGATGAAATTATAGTTGAATTATTGCTAATATTATATGAGATAAATAAAATCTTTAAATTAAAAAAATATATATATATAATTGTCATTATAATGAATAAATAAGATTATAATCAAAAATAATGATTTTATATATCATTTTTATGTATTGTAATTATAATACAAAACAATAACTACAAAAAAATAATTTTTAATAATTGAGTAAATATATTGAATAAAACTTATTTTTTCAAAAAAAAAGTATTTTATTATTTAAATAATAATAAAAATTAACTATCATTTGTATAATATAATAAATTTAATAATAATATATGATATAATAATATCATGACAAGTCTTTATTTTTATTATTTAATAAAAATAATATTATTTTCAATATATTTACATTTGATAGCAAAAAAAATATTTTGATAATAATTTTAAAATAATTCTCATGAAAAACACTTTTGTATTTTATACTTAAAAGCAATAATTAATATTAAGATTATTTTTTATTATAATATATATATATATTATTAATTTGTTTTTTAAAAAAAAGTTGTGTGACAAACATATAATCACAAATAATAATACATATTATTATATATATATATATATTAGTTATCAAGTATTTTATTTATAAAATAATATATTTTCTTTGAATTTATCAGAAAATTATAAATATAATGTTATATATAATATTCATATATATATATATATATATATATATATATATATATATATATTATATAATTAAAGCAAACATTATTTAATCTGTAAATTAAGTTTTGATATAATCAACAAATTAAATACTTAAAAACAAATTAAATATATATATTAGTATAATAGTATAATTTATTTTCTAATTATAGTATTAATACATTAGCAATTGTAACAAATATATGTATATATATATACATATATATATTAATATATATATGGGAAAATATTGATAAATATAAAATATATAACGAGATATTTATATAAGTTTTATAGTTTTATTTATATATATATTAATAAATTGTTTTGTCTATAAATTATCTAAAATATAGGGTTAATACAGTGGTTATCGTATGATATGGTTTGAAATAGTTTATTGAAAATTATAATTTGAAATAACAAAATTAAAAAAAAATTGATTTATATTTTTCAAGTTAAAAAAACATTAATAATAATAATAATAACTATTATTATTATTATTATTTGAATAAATAAATTTATACAAACAATTAAAAAACTGTTTAAACAAATATCGATATTATTATTATTATAACATTTCTATTAAATTTTTATTTTTTAATCTATTAATTTGTTTTGTATGAAAAACCTAAAAATATTAGATTTTAATTTTTTTTATAGTTAGTTAAACATAACTTTTATATTATCCAATTAGATAATAAAATTTAAAATTTTATTAAAATTTTTATTTATTGATAAATTTTGTTATCTATTAATATTTTTGTAGTTGTTTTAATAAATAAATAAAATTTATTTATTTTTTAAGTTTGTTTATTAGATTTATCTTTTTTTAAATTTATTTATTAATAAACATATATGAAATAATATAATAACATTTATAATAATAATAATAATACTAATTATTATGACAATGTTTTTTTTATAATTTGTTTGATACAACAAATATTTCACACAAATATATTTTACATTAATATAATATTAATATGAAAAATATGAAAAAAATTAAATAAAAAATAACAACAATTATGATAACAATAAAACATTATTTAAAAAATATGTGTAAATATGATTGTATTTTTTGTTTGTTGATAATTATATATTGAATATTAATTATAACAATAAAATGTAAAAATTATTTTTATAATATAATTAATTTTTAAAGTGTATAATAAAATGATATACATTTGTGATTTTACTATTATTATTATTATTATTAGTTAATTAATTAATTAATAAATAATTATATATTATGAATACTAATCTCTCTCTCTCTCTCTCTCTCTCTTTCTCTCTCTCTTTCTCTCTCTCTCTCTAACTAAATATTTATTGATAAAAAATGGATTTTTTATTCAACAAAAATAAAAACAAAATATAAGACAATTGATAATCAATATAATAGATTCAATGATTATTATTATTTTTTTTAACAAAATCACAGTTAAGTTTCAATACACTCTCACTATTACTCTCTCTCTCTCTCTCTCACTATTACTATCTCTCTCTCTCTCTCTCTCTCTCTCTCTCTCTCTCTCTCTCTCTCTCTCTCTCTCTCTCTCTCTCTCTCTCTCTCTCTATCTCTCTCTCTCTTATAATCACTCAAAAAATGTTTGGCCACTTCTTAAGACATCATCGTTTTGTTTGTTTGTTTGTTTTGTATATGAATTCAATCGACACAATCAACAACAACAACAACTAAAATACAAATTATATCATATTTTGTATGTTTCAGACAATAATAATTAAAAAAATCAAAACTTTTCTTTTTATACAACTAATTGAAAATATATAGAGTCTGTAATGAATATTCTGTAAATATATAATACAATTAATTAATTAATTAATTTTTTTGAAAATCTATTACAACAACAAAAAAATTACTCGTAAAACATATAGACTTATTAATAACCAAAAAAAACTTAATAATCATATTAACAGATAATTATTATTATTAAATATGTCTCTCTCTCTCTATATATATATAACTATAAGGTATGGTATGGTATGGTATGTATAGCTACCGACACATAATAATTATTATTAAATTTTATATATATATATATATATATATGATTTCAATAGAGTTTATGCCAATTAGTCAACTGTTTGCGCGGCTGTTGTCTCAATTGTTGCCACAATTGTTGGCCGCAAACAAACTGACCGATATGTCGGTCTTTTCGTGAGTCATTGTTAGCGGCGGCGGCGGCGCCGCCATCAGTAGCGGCAGCCGCGGCACCTGTAGCCGCGGCTGCGGCCACCGCTGCTACCGGTGTTTCCGGCGACGATGGCGATTGCGATGACTCTTGTTTGTAGGATAGGACAAACATAATGGCCACCGATGCCGACGATTGACTTAAATCGTAGGACATCAGGTCAAAGGTCATGATTTCCGAGTCACCCCAAACCAGCTTCTGGGTTGTCGATGTTTTTTTCTTCTTCATCAGCTTACCATCGATGAACAACAATACCCGAACGTAATAACCTATTTAGTAGTATATGATATATATTAAGAGATTATTTTGTTATATAAAGACAGACATAGAGAGAGAGAGAGAGAGAGAGAGAGAGAGAGAGAGAGAGAGAGAGAGAGAGAGAGAGAGAGAGAGAGAGAGAGAGAGAGAGAGAGAGAGAGAGAGAGAGAGAGAGAGAGAGAGAGAGAGAGAGAGAGAGAGAGAGAGAGAGGAATAGTGATAGTAATAGTGAGAGTAATAGAGAGAGTAATAATGAGAGTAATAGTGAGAGTAATAGTGAGAGTAATAGTGAGAGTAATAGTGAGAGTAATAGAGAGAGTAATAGTGAGAGTAATAGAGAGAGTAATAGTGAGAGAGTAATAGTGAGAGAGTAATAGTGAGAGAGAGAGAGAGAGAAAGAGAGAGAGAGAGAGCTATTAATTGGTGATACAATTAAATTGAATTTTTTGTTTTTTGAATAATACATACATATTGTTGCCGAAGATGTCTGGATCTGATACGAGTGACTTAATGTTGACTTTATTACCGAAATGGTCACCCGTTTGGATGTCGGCAGATAACAGAGCCCAACAAGTAGTTCGCCTTTTGACTGATTAATTAAAATAAAAATAATATATATTAAATAAATTATTAGTTATTTATTGACAATTATTTTTTATTTTGGTAACAATTTATAGAATATTTTTTTTTGTATTTGAAATATCTATCGATTTTTTAGTCAATTATTTTTAGTATATATATATATATTTAAATTATTAATTTGTTTATAAAATGCATAAATAAATTATAATATATATATATTAATAATTAACATATCAATTCAAAAAAAAAAAAATTACAAAAATTAATTGCAATTAAATTGCAATTTTAAGTAATTATAAGTAAAATATAGTATTTATTGTTAGTAATAGTAATAGTAAGCAACAAAAAAAAAATAAATAAATACTTTAATTTTCTCCTAAATAACTAATAATAAAAAAAACTAAATAAATTATAATCTAATTTACATATCAATTAAAATAGTGAGTGAGTGTGTGAGTGATTGAGAGGGTGAGTGGGTGAGAGAGAGAGAGAGAGAGTCAATTTATATACTATTTTTTTGTTTGTTTGTTAATTATATATTAAACTTTGATATATAATTAATATAAATTTATAAACTTTATATATATTTATACGGGTACACTTTAGATAAACAACAAACCAACAACAAAAAAAGTTAGTCTAAATAACTAAAACAAACTATATAAAAAAATAATTAAAATTAAATATTGATTTATTTTTTTTAGCTGACATTAACTACACCAACAAAATAATAATAATAATAATTTCAATGTTATAAGAGATTTCTAGTTTGTTGGTCTCAATAGAGATAATATATTAATATATAATATATTTAAGTAAATACCAGAATATTCTGTATATATAAACAGTACATATATATATATATAACAAAAAATCCAATTGATATTAATGTCTATGTTTTTAGTGATCTATGTTTATGTGTGTGGGTGTTATACATGTGATATTAACATTGAAATTTTTTGTGTGTATCATTATATATATATATATATATATATATATATATATATATATATATATATAATTTAATTTTGGGTATAAACAACATATCCATAAACTATATATACAGTATACTACACTATATATATACTGTATTTGTTATAATGGTATTGTATTATTTGCTTTAAGCATTAAATTATTTATATATACACAGTATATACTGTACTAATTTTAATTTTATTTTTTGTGTTGAAAAATTTTTAATTTAATTATTTTGTGTGTGTGTGTGTGTGTGTGTATTTACTTTAATTTATTAATATATATATTTGAACATGGTTGGTTTAGTTTGAATTATAATAGTTTTTGAACAAAACAAAAATATATAATAATAATAATTTTATACTAAATTGCTTAAAAATTTTTTTTTGCATTATTTATAATAATATTAATAGTTTTTCTTATAATTTATTTCAAATTAAATTCATATGAAATGTTATATTAAATATTATTTATTTTTTTTCCTAGAATTCAATTTTTATGCAACAAAACTAAAACTACAAACATTTTTATTTTTTTAGTTTTTTATATATATTTTTTTAGTTTTTTATGATGACATTTATATGTTTGATAATAATAATAATAATACACTTACTTTATATAATATATACTATATATTATATATTATGTATAAGTGTGACATTTATTATTTATATATAAACTGTAATACATGTATAAATAAATAAAAATGTTTTTTTCAAAATAATAATAATATTATTATTATTAAATTGCCCCTTAAACATTACTACTAAATAATAATATAGCTATTATATTTTTTTAAAATAAATTTAGTTATTAAAATATAAAAATATATATTTGAAATTTTAATAAAAAAAAAATAATAATAATAAATATCAATTACTATGCAATTATTATTTTGTTATTTTCTGTTGGTAATAAAATACATGTACTGTATTTAGTTAAAAAAATAAAATTATTTTAGTTAGAAAATTTAATATTCAAATAAACAAATAGATATTAAATTAAATGTATTTTATTTCAATCCTAATTTTCTACGGAAAATAAAATTGATTGAAAATAAAACTAAAAAAATAATTTTATATATATATATATATATATATATATTATAATAAATTTTAATTATAAATAATAAAATTATTTTTTTGGGTTTATTTTCAATCTATTTTTGCTAAATATATAAATTTATATATATATATATAAATTATTGTTTAAAAATAACAATTTTATTAATATTAGCAATGATATTTAAAAATATATATATATATATATATTAATTTATGTCTAAAAATAATACACTCAATATATATATATATATATATATATGTATATTTATATAGATATATAAAGTATATAATATATGTGCAATTTTTTTGTTAATTAAATTAAGTATACAAATGTCATTATAATTATATAATATTGATTTTGATCATTAAAAAAATAGGTTTAAATTAGTCAATCAAAAAAAAAATAATAATACTAAAATAAACCAATCAATAAAACAAATTAATTATCTATTTTTACGATTTGTTAAAAATCCTATTAAATTAAAATAAAAAAAACAAAATTGTCATTAACACGACATGCATTTATTATTATTATTATTATTATTAAAACAAATAGTATTGAAAATATTTATTTATAGCTTATATATATATTTAATTAATAATAATAATTATTATTATTAGTATTATTATTATGCAAAACAAATTTTTATATAATCAATATATACTTTATATATAGTGAATATATATATATATATATATATATATATATATATATATATATATATATATATACATATGAGAATATATATATATATATATACATATGAATATATATATATATATGCATCTAATGACTATTAATTTTAAGTACATGACTATTAATAAATAATAATAATTATTATAATATATGAATAATTAATTAATTAATAGATGATTACTATTACTATAGTAGAATAATAGTATTATATAAAATAATAGATTTTTTTTAAAAATAAAAATAAAAATATGACATTATTTTTAAGACAATGTATATATTATTTTAAATAAAAATTTATAATTAATTGATTTTTTTTTGTTTTGAGTACAAACCTCTTTACAGGGCCTTAGTGTCAGCTCACGGGTAGTCATCGTCATCTGGTTATCCGTAGTCATCGTCATCATCGGCGGTAATGTCGTGGACACTGATGTCGACACTGATGTCGACACCGATGAACTGTCCATCAGTTTCTTTAGCTGTAGACTCGCTTCGCCTAAACAGATATCGTTGGCATACCTTTCGTCGTCAAACAGCTTGAACTTCAATATACCATCTTTTAGTATACTCTTTGGCAGGTCTTGGCTGACAAACTGTTCACCAAATACAGGGTTAAGGCATCTCTTGGCCGAAGCCGTACGATATAATGCACTGGGAGTGGCTGGTTATCGGTATAGGTGTGTAGGTGTGTGTAGGTGTTTGACATACATAAGCAACAAACAAATATGTAATTAATTTAATATAACAATTTAGAGATGGGCAAATAGAAAGTTTCTAATAAAAATTTTTTATTTGAGAAAGTTTCTAGAAAATTGTTTTTTTTTTCAGTAATAAATTTCTATAGAAATTTTCTGTTATATTACTAACTTATTATTATTAACTGTTATATACAGTACTATGGGAACCCCATATTTATAGTTATTGTAATATTATATTTTAGATATAATATTAATACTATTTATACACTGTATACAGTATAGTATAATAATACAGTATACAAATGTGATTAATTTAATTTTAATTAAAACATTTAATTAATTAATTTTGTAAACAATTGTATTCATCATTTTTATTATATATATATATATATATATATATATATATCATACTGTAGTTTAATTAATTAATTTTTTACTCCCAATAGTTAGAAATTTCTTTTAGAAACTTTCTAGAAATTTGTCTATTATTTTATAAATTTCTCTTTTTTTTGCCAACACTTTAATAACAATAGATTTTTTGTTATACAACAGAATATTCTTTACATATAAACAAAACAATTGATTCATTCAATGAATTCAATACCTTTATTACTGATTAGACTTCGGCGCCTGGTTTTCAAACCGACCAAAATTACCGACACATAACAGGAGGGGTCGACATAATAGTCACGTTGTTGTAGTTCACGGCACTCGTCGATTCGGACGATTAGCCGACAGCTAGACTGGCCAATCATTTCGTAACGGGCGGTAAATCGGATGAATCCGCAATCTTTTAGCTTCGGTATGTCCGCCGCCGATAGGTCGCCGCCGCAGCCATTGTTTTCCGTAGTAGTAGTAGTAGTGGTCGTTAGCGACTGTTTTTTGGCCTTATTTTTGTTGTCAAATATATCGGAAAAGCTTTTCGATGACCGATGTGTTGTTGATCCCCTGTTGTCAGCACCGGTAGTTTCGGCGGCTAAGCAGCCATAGTGTGGCACAACTGATAGCTGAAAATGTTTGGACTCCTGTGTCATAACTAGCTGTTGTTGTGGCGTATAGTGTATTAAACTCATGTAGTTATTATCGCCGCCAGCACCAGTAGTACCAGTAGTTTTTTTTGTGCCCAATTTTTTGGCACTATTGTAGTTGTAGGCAGTGGTGGTAGCCTTTATAAGCCATCGGTGTAGCCAACAAACAGGTGATACAAAACAAATGGTCAGTATTAGGCTGAACAGGAACAGTGATGAGGCAATGATAATGATAACTAGTTTTTCGCTATCGGTTAATATAAACACCATTTTTTTTTTAAATGTATAGTTTAGTTATACAGTTTAGGTATGACTGGTGTCTCAATACATATATATGTGCTGCTGCTATGGCTATATGAGTGATGATTATTATGTCTATGTGTGTGTGTGTAAATACCCCGATGATTATTATGAACTACCTGTCCATAAACATACACTCACATTCATTGATGATTTATGGATATACAGTATATATATATATATACAAACAATCTCTGATTAATTACATAATTGCTTCTCTATGTGTCAGTCAATCCAGCAGTTTATACATTATATATATACGATATAATATATGGGTTGTTATATACAGTAATGTATGAGAGCTTATGGCTTATTATTAAAGTATTATTATTATTATTATTGTATTATCTCTATGGGGTATACAATCTCTCTCTCTCTCTCACATAATATACTGTTTATATTTACTTTACATTAAATATAAATATATTTTTTGTGTGTATATATCTTGTAGTAGTAGTGATGTGTAGATAATATCTGTGAACAAAAAATATATAATATATATATAAATATATAACACATATATTATAAATATGATTTATAAGTAACAAATTGATAATATAGTAATAAAAAATATATACTGTATTTATTAATTCACTGTTTAATGTATACATTATTATTATTAGGTATAAGTGTATTATATTACTACCAAATAATAGACACTAGAAACACATTGTAATATAATGTCAAATAAATAATAAATCAATTTATTTTATTTAAAATAAAAATCATTGAATTAACAGTTTATTAGTCATAAAATAAAATTTGTTTCTCAACAACAAAAAAAACTTGTAATAATATATCCAATAAAATATTGGTATTTATTATTATTATTATTATTATTAACATTTAATAATAATTTTTATCTAAAACATATATACTGTATAATAACATTTAACTCTTAAAAAAATTTAATTTAATAAATATGTCTATTTGTTATTTTTTAAATAAAAATAATAAATTATTTACTATAACTATCATTATCATCTATACTGATCAAATTGATCAAGGTAGATATTCCTGGACAATATTATTTTTACAAATTAAAAAATTTAACCAGGTCAAATAATGTTAAAATTATACGATAAAAATATTTATATACAGTATATTTATTACTAAATAAAATAATTAATTTTTAGTTTTAAAAAATCCTTTAAAAATATATAAATATTGATTTTTCTATTCAAAAAAAAATAAATATTTTCCAGTATTAACATAATTACTAGTTGTGTATTATAGTTATTATTTTAATTTATTATTATTTTTTAATAAAAATATGTTATAAAAACATTTATAAATATATATCAGCAAAAAACACCTGTAGTTTATTTATGTTTAATAGTTTATATATATACTGTATTAATAGCAAACATATATATATATATATAATATATAATATGTTTTTTGAGTTAAATACAAAAATTATTTGCAGACAAAAAATTAAAATTGAAAATTGAAAATAGAATTTTTTGACAGTATATTCAATATCATAGAAGTTTAATGACATTTAAGTTTGAAAAATAATTTTTTTTAACTAATTTTATATAAAAAATTTTTAGTCTAAAATTTTTTAGTCTCCCTCTCTCTCTCTCTCTCTCTCTCTCTCTCTCTCTCTCTCTCTCTCTCTCTCTCTCTCTCTCTCTCTCTCTCTCTCTCTCTCTCTCTGTCTTTGAAATGTTTTTGTCATATAATTAAAATAAATTTTCAATTAAAATAATGTTACTTTAATTAGAGATTTTTTGCTCTCTCTCTCTCTCTATATATATATATATATATATCTTTCTCTCTCTTTCTCTTAAAAAATATCTATTTTTAAGATAATGTCTAAATTTTTTTTGTATCTCTAATATATAAAAATAGTTTAAATAATTTAAAAACATTAAAATCTTATTTTATTTTTTTCTAGTTATACTGTATATAAGTTACTTATACTAATACCCGTATAATATAGAGTATATATATTATATACAGTATTACAAAAATTTTAAATAATTTAATTTTTACAAAATAAATATTTAAACTATTTATTTTAGGGTATACAATATTTACATTAGGTTTAAAAACTTTTATTATTATTAATATTATTTAAAAAACATGTATTACATTGAATATAACTGTGTATTAAAAAAATAAATAAATAGTATTTTATTTATTGTTTTCAACATTACATTTAAATTGTAATGTATTTTATTATTATTATTGCATTATATTTATACTTTACTGTATTTACTTTAATGTTATCCATAAAAAAATTACTTAATTTATATTTGTTTAAATGTATGTATCATTTAGTAAATATTATTATTACTATTTTAGTAAATTTTAAATATATTTAATTAAATTATATAAATATTTTTTTTAATGTATGTATCATTTAGTAAATATTATTGTTATTACTATTTTAGAAAATTTTAAATATATTTAATTAAATTATATAAATTTATTTATTTTTTTAATTAATTAATTAAATACAATATAATATTATATAATATAATAATAAATTTAATGTTAAAAAAATACAATAAATAATGAATAATATGGAAAAAATACATATAAATATTGTAATAAATATTTTAGTAATAATAATAATAATAATAATAATAATAATTTTGTTATTGATATACAATAATAATAATATGAATTATAAATATGTGTTTTAACTTTAATTAATTCATATATATATATATATTAATATTTATATATATATGTAATATAATATTAGTTTGCTTACCATTTTTTAAAACGGTTGTCTTAATTATTAAATATATATATATTTATTATATATTAGTAATCAGTTTTAAGAGTCAGTAATTAATTAATTGATATTTTTAAAAAAAACTTAATTATATTATTATTATTATTAAGTTTTAACAGTTTATTATAAGTTAGACATACACAACAAAATATATTATATATATATATTTATTTAATCACAAATAATTAATTTTTTTTTTTGGTAGTTTAATGTTATTGTTAAAGTTAATAATGTTAACTTATAGTAAGTATTATTAGTTAGTTATGGTTTTTATATTATTATTATTATTTAAAAACGTTTTAATTATTATATACGGTATATATTTGTATATTAGTAGTTAAACAATTGTTATTAATGTTTTATTTTATTTATTTTTTGGTTACTATTAATACTACTATTATTTTGTATATTTTATTTAATGGTCGGGTAATAGTAGTAGTAGTAGTACTATAACTGTGTTTAACCCCTTAAAACAAACTGTTTGTATGTATGTATGTATGTGCTCTAGATTTGCACCTATTTTACTACATATATATATATATATATACCATACCTAATAGTTTTATATACTGTATATATAAAAGGGATTGTTGTTTAGCTATCAAAAACATCAACATGTATTGCCTACACATACACACTAACTAACTATAATATTTGCTGAGATATATACCGATCAATGAATTTATATTTATGTGTGTGTGTGTATGTGTGTGTTTGTATATGTTTATGTGTGTGTATGTGTGTGTATGTGTATGTGTATGTGTATGTGTGTGTATGTGTATGTGTATGTGTATATATGTATGTGTGTGTGTGTGTGTATGTGTGTCGACCGACCGCATCTGCGTGTATATCATACTAACCATACATATGTACACATAAACTATATCAATATATATGTATATATATATATACTTTATGTCTGGAAAAAAATAAATTGAGACTATATATATAAAATTTATATAATAGTATATATATATATTATATATTGTATTTTCCATTGATAAGCCAAAAAAGTATGGTTAAGAAAATACAGTACAAAAAAACAAGTAATGAAACCCTAGAAAAAAGCTAACTGTTTCCCATTTGTAGGCCTTTTCCATAGCAACTCTCTCTCTCTCTCTCTCTCTCTCTCTCTCTCTCTCTCTCTCTCTCTCTCTCTCTCTATTACATAATAATCAGTTTTATGGTTGAAAAATATATTAAAATATACTATATATATATAGCATTTTGGTTGATCTAAAGCATCTCTCTCTCTCTCTCTCTCTCTCTCTCTCTCTCTCTCTTTCTCTCTGATCTAAAGCATCTCTCTCTCTCTCTCTCTCTCTCTCTCTCTCTCTCTCTCTCTCTCTCTCTCTCTCTCTCTCTCTGTCTCTATATCTCTCACTCACTCACTCACTCACTCACTCACTCACTCACTCACTCACTCACTCACTCACTCACTCAGTATTGATGTAACGCATGTCATAGTATATACAGTTTATATATATATATATATATATATATTTGTATTTATTTGTCGTACATATACCTTGTTGATAACATTTTGACCTAAAAATTTTTTTTATGTATATATAATACTGGATATACAGTAGACTATAATAATTATATAATAAATTTTTGTTTCAAAAAAACCCAGCAAAAATAATTACAATAATAATAATAATACTGTATTTATTTTATTGATATATTATATAATATATATTAGATATTATTTGAATCTAGGATTTTATTGCAAATATTTAAACAGTAATATAAAAATTTTTTTTGGTTTTATATTCATTTAAATTATTATTTTTTTTATTATAATTATATTATTCTACTGTATATATATAAAAATATTATTAATATTTATATTTATGTAATTATTATTTATTTTAGCTTAAACTAATAAACTAGGTTAGCTATTATATAATAATAATAATAATAATACAGTATTAAATATACAGTACTATTGAAATATAAATATTATAGCAAATTATATTAAACTATTTATATATATATATTTTAGATATATCTAAATATATTTAATAAAGATTTTTAAACTTAAAAAATTTTTAACATAACATAATTCAATACAATAAAAATGATTTCACAGAAAATTATTATTATTATTATTATATTAAATGTAAATTGAAATTTAATTTTTATCAAAAAATTTTTATACATTTCAAAAAATAAATAAATTATAAATTGTATTATACAGTTGAGTGTATTATATATATAATATATACATATATATATAATATAATCTATAGAGAATTGATGATGATGAATAAAAATAATTTAATAAAATATTTGAAGAAAAAATTTTTTATAGAAAATATAAAAAATATAAATTTTTAAAAAACACTATATACTGTATAAAAATTATATATATATAATAATATCATAATATCTCATTGAAAATTAAATTGCATTTTTATCTAGTTTAACTGGTAAACTAAATAAATAAAATATAAAACATTTTTTTCAAAAAAATAAAAATTTGTTTACAAAATTTAATAATAATAATAATAATAACATTAGCAATATTGAAATTTGTGTCAACAAAATTATTATTATTATTATTATTATATTGATTTTTAATTATTTGTCAATGATACTTAAAAAATAAATTATTTTTTTTGTAAAATTAAATTAAATTATTTTGTTATTTATTTTTTGATAAACAAAATTAAATTAGTTTTATATATATATATATATTGATTTTTATTTGTAAATTGTTTTTTTTATTATGTGTTTGTTATGATTGCTTTTTATCATATTTTTAAGTTTAAGTATTTTTTTAAAGTAAAATCAATAAAATAATTTACAAACAATTTGGTAAAATTTGAAAATTTTTGCCTTAAATTTTATGTATAGCTTTATTTAATTAAATAAAAAAAATATTTGATTGATTAAAATGCACTAATTTAGTACTAATTGTATAATAAATTTTATTTTATGTTTTTTGAGTTACAAAACATTTGAATTAAATCCTTGAATATCATAATATTAAACTAATTTTATTTTTTTATATATATATATAAATTTATATAATTAATAATACTGTATATATTTTGTATAGAGATTTCAATTAAGATATATATGGATTGATTTATGTTAAACTATTTCTAGTATTTTTCACGTTTAAAAACTAAAAAAAACTAAAATAAAATAAAACTACTAATTAAAAATGCATTTTGTGTTTTTGTTTGGAGAAAAATTTAGATATTATTTTATAATAACAACAATTTTATTTTATGTTAAAAAACTATATAATAATATTTTAACATAAAATCAAGGCTTAGAAAATCCAAACACAAATAATTGGCACCAAAATTATTATTATTATTATTATTATTATTATTATTATTATATATATAAAATTGAAATTTATTTTATCAAAAATTTTTATTTAAAAAAAAAATTATTGCGATTCTTGTCATATGTTGTTATCATTTCATTCTCAATAAATCCAATGAATATTCAAAACTCGTATTTTTATTTGATTTTATGTTTTTTTATGAAAAAAAAATTTTTGAACCAAACTTTTACTTAAAATTGTTTATTATTATTATTATTACGGGTACGACAAGGACAGTATGATTTTTTAAATGGTCCGACACTGGGGGGGAGGAGGGGGAAGTCACCTGTTTGTATAGCCAATCGGATGCTTTATTATTATCATAACATACCCCCGTCCCTAAGCCCCGGGTACTACTGATGGTGACTACCATTAGCACCGATACTAGTAGTAGTAGTGGTGACCCCAGTAGTAGACAACTTGTTATTATATATATATACTGTATATACAGTATATATATTAGAAATATTTGTCATTTAGGGAAAAAAAATTTTTTTGGTGACTATTTTGTGTGCGAAATAAAAAAACTTGTTGACAAAAATATTTAATACATATATACAGTATATATATATAATATTTATTTAATTAAGACTCTAATATATTATAGACTCTCTCTCTCTCTCTCTCTCTCTCTCTCTCTCTCTCTCTCTCTCTCTCTCTCTCTCTCTCTCTCTCTCTCTCTCTCTCTCTCTCTCTCTCTCTCTCTCTCTCTCTCTCTCTCTCTCTCTCTCTCTCTCTCTCTCTCTCTCTCTCTCTCTCTCTCTCTCTCTCTCTCTCTCTCTCTCTCTCTCTCTCTCTCTCTCTCTCTCTCTCTCTCTCTCTCTCTCTCTCTCTCTCTCTCTCTCTCTTTCTCTCTCTATTTAAAAGTAATTTATTTTTGTGAAAAAGCTATAGACATATATAAAGTACAGTAACTAAATATCAATCAATGTTTTATGTGTAATACTTTTTATTTAAAAAAAAAACTATATATATATTTGCAGTGATTATATGGTTTCAAAAGATATATATATATAACTTATAAGTCATATAACTTATAATACTGTAAATATATATATATAATTCAATTTAGTAAATAAAATAAATATCCAACAAATTTTTTACCAATTTTTGTACAACAATTTATATTAAATAAAATATATTTATATATATATATATTTAAAAAATTAGAGCAAAATAAACTAATAAATAAATAAATAATAAAAATGGTTATTGAAGTAAAAGATTTGGTAAGTTATTTCCTTAAATTTAATAATAATAATAATATATTTAATATATAATAGTATAGTTTATATATATATATATATATATATATATATATAGATTATTTCATAATAATATTTTTTGACACATTTTATTTGTACACAAAAATAAAAACATTTTCACACTTTTATAACAAGCTATTGATGACTATATAAATGTTTTTAATAAATATATTTAAGAGAAACTATTTATATATATATATATTAATACTAATATTGAAGTCAATTATTTATGAAATAAAATAAAATATTTATTAATAATTTATAAAAATATATATATATAATTATAATGCAATTGTATAAAAGTATTTTAGTTTTAAATGTTATAAATTTATAATTTTAAAAAAAAATTATTTGTTTCATAAAAACTAATACTAATAATTAGTTTTATAAATAAAATTTAAATAATTATAATACTAAACTAAAACAACAATATTATTGTTATTATTGTATAGCTAAAATTAATTAGCAAATAAACAATTATTTTTATATATTTTTTGTGAATAATTATATACCCACTGGTTAATTATTTATTCAACAATATATATTTATAGTTAGTTATTATTATAAATAAACCTAGATAAATTTTATTTTATTTTTTACATCCAATTAATTATAACCTTTACTGTAATTGTAAAACATAACAATAATTAACAGTATTATTATTATTATAGAGTTTCTAAATATATATATTTATATATATATATTTAATTAGTATAAAACATTTCAAATGTATTATAAAAATTTTTTTTATTGGTTTTATTAGAGAAAGAGATTTAATTTTAGATTTCAATAATATTTTATTAATATATATATATAAATATATATGTCTGGGATGTCTGATGAAATTTATCATTAAAATTACTAATAAATAAATTAATTTTTAATCATATATTTTCAAAATATTAAGGTCAATAAAACCCATTTATACTATTATATATATATATATATATTATTTAATTACATACAAAATATCTATACTATACAGACAAACAGGGTGTATTTTAATTATACATTATTATTATTATTATTAGTATTATTTAATTTTTTATTAATAAATAATTATAATTTTTATTAGCGTTAATGACATAAAAATACTTTATATATATATATATCCATAGACTTAACATAGATTTAATTGTAACTACAATTTAAAAAAAACAAAAATTTTAATTTAAAACAAATAATTAAATAATTAAAGGCAATGCTAGAAACAAATCCCTATATATATTGATAAATTAAATGTATTAAATAAATTAAATATATATAAATTTATTTTAAATAGTAGTAAACATAATGTTTTAAGTCTCTATAAATTTTTTTTTTAATTTTATTAATAGACTATAAAAAAAACTTATTTAGGATTTTATTTTTGAATAAAAAAATATCCAATAATTCTAAATAATATTATTATTAACTGTTAATTAATAACAAACAAACAAAAAGTGTTGTTTTTATTTAACTATAGTATTATAATTAATTAGTAATTAATTTCTATATATGTGTTGAAAAAATTTAATTAATTATTTATATATATATATATATATATATATATAAACTAATCATTGAATTCAATTGATTCAATCAATAATAGATTATTAATACACGTGAAAGTGTGACAAAATCATCGGAAGTCATACATATTGAGGACAAACAACAACCTACCCGTCCATTAATTGCCGGCCAGGAAGTAAAGTGTGGGCACAATCACTATATTATGGATAATTTAGATGATTTAGCCAACAGTACTGTTAATGTTATATTTACCCTAAAGGAAAAGGTGGGCGCACTGGTAGATGTATTGCAATTATTTAAGGTACGTGTCCTGCTTATGTATGTATATATATATAATCGGTAACTGGGTATGTGTGCTATACTGTATTTATTATAAGTTTAGTCTAGTCTAAAAAAATAATATATATATTTTTTAAATTAATAAAAAAAGTATAGTTAGTTTGCTAATGTAATCATAGATTAAATTTTTTAATTATTTATTATTAAATTATTTTATTATTAGTTTATTATTAGTTTACTATTAGTTTACTATTAGTTTACTGTTAGCTTATTATTAATTTACTATTAGTTTACTATTAGCTTATTATTAGTTTATTGTTAGTTTTTTTTTAATTTTAAATATATTTAAATATTTAATTTATTGTATAAAATAAATAAAAATTAATAAAATTAATATTATTTTCAAAAAATTAATTTACTTAATACTGTAGTTTATTTTCATTACAAGTAATATATTTGCAAAAAAAAAGTTTTAAAAAAAATAAATAATATACATATACTGTGTTAATACAGTAGTAGTAGTAATACAAACATTAAAAAAAAATTATAGACTATTTACTACTACTACTTGTCTATACTATAAATTAAACCCTAATATAATACCCGATATAATTAAATCCCAATTATTTTAAAAAAAAAAAAATAAACCTCATATCTATCCTGTAGTCTAACTAAGCGCTTATGTATCTGTTTTTTATGTGTCTTAAATTCAAGGATAATGGTGTAAATCTATACCGCATTGAATCCCGTTCCTCCAAACGATTCAAAGATGACTATGAATTCCTGGTTGAATGTTGTCCGGGACAGGGCCTGAATCGGGCACTCGAAGATATTGAACCCCTAACCCATTATTTGCAACTGATATCCAGGGATCAATCCCAAACAGATATACCTACTGTTCCCTGGTTTCCCAATCGTATCAAAGATTTGGATCAATTTGCCGATCATATACTATCCTATGGATCGGAACTGGATGCCGATCATCCCGTATGTATAGTACCGATAGATTTTAATTGTTTTTTTAAAAAAAATAATTAACAATAAATTTAATATAATTTTTTGTTTGTTTGAAAGTTTAAAAAAAAAATCTTTTTTAAATAACTATTGATATATTAGTTTATGTATGTATGTGTGTGTGTGTGTGTGTATGTATAAATCTATGTGTGTGTATATGTGTATGTATGAATCTATCTATATATATATATATATATGTGTGTGTGTGTGTGTGTTTATGTATGTGTATGTTTGAATCTATGTGTGTGTGTGTGTGTGTGTGTGTGTGAGTGTAAGTGTGTATGTATATATGTGTGTGTGTCTATATATTTATGAATCTATGTGTATGTATGTGTGTGTATGTGTGAGTGAGTGAGTGAGTTAGTATCACTTAAACAATTATTAATTAAAATTTTAAAATTTTATAACTAATTATATACTTAAATCACTCGACACACTACTTAAACTAACACTAACACTGAGAGTCAATTTTATCATATATTTTTAGAGATAAAAAAAAATTAAGTTAATATCAGTTTATTATTATGAAATTATTATTATTATTATAATTATTATTAGTTTTATTTCTAATCTACTAATAATTAAAAAAAAACTTAAGATTATTATTTTTTTATATAAAAAAAATATTATTTATATTATAATTATTTTATTTTGTAATTATAAATATTATATATATATATATATACTGTTTATATAGGGTTTTACTGATCAAAAATATAGGGCTCGGCGTAAATATTTTGCAGATCTGGCCTTCAATTATAAACAGTAATACATTTTTTATATTTATATATATATATATATATCTATAGTTTTTTACTATTAATAATAATACTTTCAATACCTAACCCACCCACCCACCCCCCGCCCGCCCAGTGGCCAACGGTTACCGCATATCGACTATACCGCTGAGGAAACGGCTACCTGGGGTAAGGTATTCAAAAATCTGGTTAAACTCTATCCAACCCATGCCTGCCGTGAACACAATCATATATTTCCCTTAATGATTGAAAACTGTGGCTATCGGGAGGATAATATACCACAACTGGAGGATGTATCGAATTTTTTGAAAGGTTAGACCCCCCCCTACTACATACCTGAGCCCCCCCCATCATATAATCTAACGGGTATTCTCTATTAATTAGACTCAACCGGATTCATACTCAGGCCAGTGGCCGGACTGTTGAGTTCACGCGATTTTCTGGCCGGCTTAGCCTTCCGGGTGTTTCACTCGACACAGTATATACGGCACCCGTCGATGCCATTGTATACACCCGAACCTGATGTTTGCCATGAACTCCTCGGGCATGCCCCTCTATTTGCCGATCCTAGTTTTGCCCGTTTTAGCCAGGAAATCGGTCTGGCCTCTCTGGGCGCACCCGACGAATACATTGAAAAGTTGGCCACTTGTTACTGGTTTACCATTGAGTTTGGTCTGTGTCGGCAGCAAAACCAGTTGAAAGCATACGGTGCCGGCCTATTGTCAAGCTATGGTGAACTAGAGGTTAGTTAGAGTTAGGCTATTATGGTATTTGTTTATTAATATGTTTGGTTTTCGTTGGGTGTGTAGTACTCCCTGAGCGGCAAACCAGATATACGGCCATTTGATCCGTACGTTACCGGCTCGCAAAAGTATCCCATAACACAATACCAGCCCATCTACTATCTGGCCGATAGTTTCGATGATGCCCAACAAAAATTAAGGTATGGTATGCACCATTACATACCTTACCCTACCTCCCAACCCCCAACCCCCTAACCCCCCAGGTATTTAGTTAACCAGTTTATGCTGCACAGGGAGTTTGCCTCATCAATTCCCCGGCCATTTACCGTACGTTACAACCCATATACACAAAGTGTTGAAATACTTAATTCAAAAGTCCAATTGGAAACTATGGCCCAAAATATACAAAGTATTTAAAAAATTTTATTTATTTTTTTAAAAAATTATAATAATAAATATTTTTTTGTTATTAAAATAATAATTAATTTTTATTTATTTATTAATTAATAATTAATTCAAAATTATTTTTTAGGTGAAGTTCAACTACTGGTGGACGCCATGAAAAAAATTCATTAATTATTATTATATATATATATTGTAATAATAATAATAATTGTTATATGAATTGTTACAATATTTTTGTTGTTGTTGTAAAACACACTTAATTTTTAACTTTCAATTTGTTTTTTTAAATATAATTTTTAACTTTATTTTATTATAATTTTTTAAAAATATATAAATACCATATTATTATTATTTTGTTATAATTATCTATTTTTTAAAAAAATACTATTGATTATAATTGATTATAAAATTAATTATGTTATTACTTTTAATCATTATTATTAAACCGGTATTAATTGAAAAAATTTTACTAATAATTTATAATATTTTTTTATATTTATAAATAAATTTACTTGTAATTTGAATTGAATAATAATAATAATAATAATTTTTTAAAAAGATATCTATAATTATTCAGTACTTATTTATTATTTATTTTATATATATATATATGAATTATGACAACAATAATATGTTATCTCATATACTGTATAAGTATTTATTAGTTACTATAATATTATTATTATTGTTTAATATTATTTCATTAAATTTCAAAATACATTACTTATTAAGTATATAAACTACTTATCAGACAATAGTAATGAAATTAAATAAAACAAAACATTTTTCAATATAACTGAGGATTACTATTGTTTAATGAAATAAAATATAATAATAAAATGTCAAAAATCAATTGAAAAACAATTTTTTTTAATATCAACTAAACTACTAGAAAATTTCAAGGAAAACACTTTTATAATCACAATATATATATATAAATTATATATAATATTATAGATTATATTATAGTATTTTTACACATAAATAAAATCATATCACAATTATATGTCTAAATTTTATTATAAACGTAAAAATATATTCAATATTATTATATATATATATATATATATATATATCTTATATATATTTCACAATAAAAATTGGGATTAATTTCCAGGATTTGACTCTTCAAAAAAAATATATATTATAAACTTATATATATATATATATATATAAATGTCCATTATATTAATATATTTATCTGATTACTAATGAAACTAATATCTAATATTATTAATAATAATAATGTCTTATATATTATCAAATTATTATAGATTATTAATTACTATTAATATTAATATACAATCATAGTATCCTAGTATATAGATATATAGATATAAGTATTGAATATATATTATCAATATATATATATATATATATATGCTTTTAGTACTAATAAAAATAATATATAAGATAAACAAAACAAAATAACAAAAAAAAATTAGGTTAGTATATATATATAAATATAAAGTAACTAATATTTAATTATTATTATTTAGTTAGTTATAGTTTATTTATTTTTTTAAAAAAAATAATTTTTTTTATTATAGACAAAAAAAAATGTTAAAAAATTGTCTATTATTGGGTTCCGTACTTATAGTATGTTTGGGTCAACTAAATGCTGTATTGGACCCAAAAGTTGTCTGCTATTATGAGTATTGGTGTAAGTTTTTTATTAGTAAAAATTATATGATTGATATTTAATTAAAAATTAAAAATTATTATTATTATTGATTATATAGATGCCTACCGTACCGGTGCTAAAGATGGCAAAATGACTGTCGATGATATCGGTAATTATAAAAAAAAATTATTTTTTAAAAAAATATATTATTAATAATATACTAAAACTTTTTTTTATTGAAATTTGTTTTTAATTAAATTTTTAATTAATTATTAATTATAATTAGATAGCACATTGTGTACGCACATTGTCTACAGCTATCAGGGCATCGATACCGATCTGACCGTCAAAATTATGGACCCCTGGCTAATGAAAGATAAACGTAATTGAAATTATTTAATTAATTAATAATAATTATTATTATTTATTAAATAATAATAATAATTAATTAATTATTGCATAATAATAATTAATTATTAAATAATAATAATTATTATTCATTTATTATTTAATAATTAATTATTATTATTATTATTTAATAAACAATTCATTATTATTATTATTTAACAAATAAATAAATTGTTTATTAAATAATAATAATAAGTAATTAGATATTAAATAATAATTATTTATTCATTAAATAATAATAATTAATTGTTTATTAAATAATAATTATTTATTTATTAATTATAAAAAAACTAGATGACCTGGAACATTTTGCCAAAAACAAGGGTCACGCCAAGGCTATGGTAGCCATCGGTGGCTGGTCAGGCTCCGGGCCCTATCAGCAAGTGGTCAGTACGCCAGCCAATCGCCAAACGTTTGTCTCAAGTGTTGTTAGCTATTTGAAAACCTACAATCATGACGGCCTGTTCCTCGACTGGTCAGGTATTACCTATTCGGATGACTTCCTCGAGCTTCTCCATCTACTGCACCAGGAGTTTCAACCCAATCATTGGACATTGGGTTTGACACTACCGTCGGTTATACCCAAAGATTTCAAGACAGACAAAGTTGATCCGTAAGTATAGCTCATATACCGTATATGTTGTATATAAATGTCTTAATATATTAATATATTTATTATATCTGATTACTATTGAAACTAATATCTAATGATGATAATAATAATAATGTCTTATATATTATCAAATTATTATCAGATTATTAATTACTATTAATATTAATATACAATCATAGTATCCTAGTATATATATATATATATATATATATATATATATATAGATATAAGTTTATATATATATATATATATATATTATCAATAGTTTTTAGTACTAATAAAAAATATTATTATTTAGGATAAACAAAACAAAACAAAAAATAGATATATATTTACATAAGTGATCTGTAATCTAACGGTGCAATTAAATTTAACTATAATTTTTTTATGTCTATTTGGACAGTTATATCGATTTGATTGCCATCCAGACCTATGATTTTCATGGCAGCTGGGAAATGGAGGTCGGCCTACAAGCACCGGTAACATGGCAGGTATGTATTGTTTTGATTTTTTAGTTTAATTAACTATTAATTAACTAATTAATTAATATTATTTTTTATTTTATTAATTATCATATAAATTAGTTGGACGTAATGAGCGAATGGTTCAAATCGGGTGCCACTATGGATAAGCTATTGGTTAGTTAGTTAGTTAGTTAGTGTGTGTCCTAACCTAACCATAACCACCCCACCCACACACCCTACCCCATAATATAACTTTTTAATTATCTATATTTATTAATAAAAAAAATAGTTGACAATACCTTTCTACGGACATACCTGGTTGTTGGCCGATGAGTCTAAATCGGAACCTGGCGACAAAGCTACCGGTGCCGGACCTGCCGGACCTATTACCCAATCGCCCGGTAAACTTGGCTACAATGAGGTATAACCCAATATCTATCTATATATATATATATCCTCATAACCCCATCATCTAATTATTTTCGTCGGGGGACAGTTATGTCGAATGGTCAAAGATGAACCAATCGGTTGGGATGCGCACCGGGATGAAAAAGAGGCCGAAATCTATATTGTACACAAAAAAGAGTGGATAACCTACGAGGATGTTAAATCATGCGAGTCTAAGACACACTTGGCTACCAGCTTAGGGTACGGTGGTGTCGTAGTCCAGGCCCTATCCAATGAGGACTACCGGGGCGAATGTGGCGACAAATATCCACTGTTGAAAGCGGTCAACAAAGGTCTGGATAAAACCCCGGTAACACCGCCTACACATCCACCCCATCCAACCGAACCAACTCAGCCGACACCCGATCCCTCGCGTATATGCAAAAAGTCCGGTATATTCAAGGATCCGCACGATTGCCACAAATATCATGTCTGTGAGGAACTGTTCCCCGGTATCTACTCGGATGAGGTCAAGACATGTCCGAAAGGTGAAGGTTTTGATGAAACTACACTCAAATGTATCGATCAGACCAAAGTACCCGGTTGTCAGTGAATAAGGGGATAGGGATGGGGACAGTAGTGTTTTTTTTATGGGGGGACAGTTGTTTGTAATTATAATTGATAGCCAAACAAAAAAAAAGTTATTATTATTATTTGTTTTTTTTCTATTTTGTTGTATTTTTTTGTGGTAACAAACATGTGATATACTATTAATATTATAATAATAATTATAACTAAAATCAATAAAATTGAAAAATAAAAAATTTGTTTTATTAATTTGCATAAATTTTTTTTGAGATTTTTTTTAAAAATTTATTTATTTAATTTATATTTAGTGTTTTTTGGTTATTATTTTATATGATTAATGATTACAGTTTATATTAATTAATTATAATTAATTGCATTTATTAAATCTATAAAATAATATTTTATTTTATTTTAAGTATCACTTAATAGTAATTATTTGATGATATATAGGATATATAAAATATATTGATAATAATAATAATTGTTTAGTAAGTTTTATTATACATTTAAAATAAATATATATATATTTCAAATAATAGATATAAAAATATATTATTTATTATTTGTTAATATTTTTGTGTTGCAATATGCACTTAATATACAGTATATAACAATAGTAATTAAAATAATAATAACTTTAAAAAAAACATTTAATTAAATAAAAATAACAATAACTAGTATTTTTTGAATGTTATTATATATTGTATAGAAAATTTATTTAATAACATCACTTAGTTATCACTATAATAATAATAATAATAATAATAATAATAATAATAATAATAATAGCTTTAATTATTATTATAAAAGTTATTATTATTATAATAAAAGTTATTATTATTAGTATTATTATTATTATTATTATTATTATAAAACATAATATAAGTTAACTTAATATATTCTATTATAATAATAATAATAATAATAAAAACTAATATAAATATAAAAAATAATAATAAATATTTTATACAAATAAACATTAATTAAAAAAATAATAATTCCCTAGATACAAATAGTTAAAAATTTCAATTTTTTAAAAAAAATTATTTTAAAAAATATTACCATGTTGCCCAGAAAAAAATCTAAAAATAATTTCTAAAAATTTTAAAGTAAATATAAGGCTATCTATAAGATTTTAAATTTAAATCCTAGACTAACGTTACATAAGTTACACGTATTAATAAATTATTTAACTTTACATTAAACTCGACAATTAAAATCAAAAAATTCAAACAACCAAGTTCATTTATTGAATTTTTTTTTTGATCATTTAACTAAACAATCATGATAATTTTAAAAATATTTAATTTAACTAAATTTTTTTTCATATATTAATTATATTTATATTATTAATATATATTTTTAAATTTTTTATTCTAAAATGTTTTTTAACTAACAATTTATTTTAGTAAATAAATTATTATTGTTAATAAATTTATTATTCAACTTTAAATTATGAATTATTATCCCAAATAGATAATAATTAAATATATTTTATAAATAAAAAAATAACTAAAATTCATAAATTAATTAACAGTCAAATTTTATACTAATAAGTAATGATAAGATTATTGATAATATTTTAAAATTTAAATCCTGAATTAAATTTACATAAATCATTTAACAATCAAATTTTTAACTAATTATATAAAATTTTGTTAATTTATTTTAGATTTACAATTATATACACAACACACAAAATTAAAATACAAAATAATCATTATTAAACAAATTATCTAGGTACAAAAGTTATTATATTTTTTGTAATTTATTATAGTTTAGGTTAAAACAGAAAAAATGAAAATTTATGATTTTACACAACAAAAAAAATATGTTAGACAACATTACAAATATTATATTTAAAAAAAATTTTGTTTTTATTAAATACAAGTATAACAACAATAATAATCAGATAAATTATTTAATTAAATTAAATAAAATTAGACAACTAAAATTTTTAGAGCTATTATAATATTTTTATAAATTTTATCATTTTTTATTATTTATATATATATATATATATAATAAATATATTATTTAAAAGTGAAAATTTTGTATAGTAACATAATAAGTAAATTTTCAACAAAAACAACCTAGTGAATTTTTATGATAGTTTTATTATATTTATTAAACAATCATAATAATTTTTTTTAATATTAATTAATATTAATTAAGTTTTACATAAATTTATTTGTTAAAATAATATTAAAATTTATTAATATTTTTGTACTGTAGTAATGGATATTTATACTTAAAAAACTATATATATATATAAATGTAAATATTTATATATTTATATGATATAATTAGTAATTTTTAAATTAAAAAATAAAAAAAATAAAAAAATATCTGGTAGATAATTATTAAATTCATAACTTTAATTTAAATAATTTTTGAAATTAATTTATATATTAAATAATTATTTTTCTATTATCTTAAAAACATGAATATCGAAATTAATAACCTTTTTTTAATTAATATTAAAAAAATGATCAATTGTTATGTCAATTAGTGTTTGCATTAAATTAAAAGATTTTTTTTCAAGTTTTTTAAAAAACAATTAATTTGTTAATTATTGTTATAATATTAACTAAAAATAAAATGTACTAAATATAAGAAACCAAATTTGGCCAAAAAAAATGTTGAAAATGGTGTAAATTTCTAATTGATTTTTAACTAAAAAATTGTTTTAAAAAAATATTAATTAATAAATCTAGTTTTACTTATAAAAATTATTTATCGGTATGAGATATTTATTTATTTTTTTTTAAAAATACGTTATAATTAACAAAATTTATTTAATACATAAATTATTATTAAATAAATTTTTGCTAAAAGATTTATTTTTTTGTTATTGTTTTTAAGCTAATTATTAATTAATTTATTATATTTAATTAGTTTACAATTGTATTGTAAATCTGGTATAATATTATATCGTGAAAAAATAAAATAAATAAAATATAAATATAATAAATATTTTTTTTAAAAAAATATTACTAATATAATAATAATAATACCAATAAATATAATTTAAAACTTTATGTAATTAATTTAAACGATTTAAATGTATTATTTTATCTTTAAATTTTTTTTAAGTCTATATATAACATTTTTTGAAAACCATGTTATTTATTAAAATAATTGTATATAAAATATTATCATTAATTTAATTCAAATATTATACATGTATATTGATATTATTAATTAATGTGGGGTTAATCTAAGTATAAAATATTTATAAATTATATATATATAGATTATATACTGTATATATATATATAAATATATATATATTGTATATTAATATTATTAAACTAAAGTAATTACTGTAATATTATTAATAAATAAAATTTTAATTTTGTTTTTATTGTTATTATAAATTATTTCATTAATTAATTGCAATTTATTAAATGTATTAATATTTTTATATAAAAAAAAAGTTAGTATTAATACTTTATGATAAGATATATATTGAAATATAAATAATATATATATATATATATATTGAAATATAAATAATATATATATATATATATTGTATATATATATTGATATTATAATTGTTTAGTAAAAGTTTCATCAAAAATATATATATATATATATATATATATATATATATATATATATATATTATATATTTCAAGTTAATAATGTATTGATAAAAGTATTTAATAATATATACTATATAATACTTTAAATAAATATTGCAAAATATTTTTCAACATATTTTTAATTGTTTTGTTATTATTATTAACTATAATAATAATAGTAACAATAATAACACTGTAAATATTAAATAGCAAATAAATAAATAAAGTAAATAATATAGTAGTAGTAATTTAATTAATTAAATAAATAAAACTTTCAACAAAATAAATAATATTTCAAAAGTGTTTTTTTAAATATATATAAAAAATATTGTTTTCATTTTAATTAAATGAAATTTTTTGTTTCTCAATAACTGTTTATTTGATAAACATTTATATTGTTGTTATTGTAAACCAATTTCATTATATAATACACACACACAACAAAAATAATATTATATTTAGTTTTAATAGCAATAAATAAAATTATTGTGAATTAAAATCAATAATAAAATATAATTTTCTAAGATTATTATATTATAGTTTACCTTGAAGTGTTTTTTTTTATTATTATCTCATAATTGTAAATAATATGTGTTTTGTTATCAACAATTGTTTTCAATATCATCTAAATATGTGTCCGGGTATTTTCTAGTGTGTACTTCAATTTAAGTGTGTATGTGTATGTGTATGTGTATGTGTATGTGTATGTGTATGTGTATGTGTGTATGTGTTTGAGTATCTGTATGTATGTGTGTGTATGTGTGTGTATGTGTGTGTATGTGTGTGTATGTGTGTGTGTATGTGTGTGTGTATGTGTGTGTATGTGTGTGTATGTGTGTATGTGTATGTGTATGTGTATGTGTATGTGTATGTGTATGTGTATGTGTATGTGTATGTGTATGTGTATGTGTTTGAGTATCTGTATGTATGTGTGTGTATGTGTGTGTATGTGTGTGTGTGTGTATGTGTGTGTATGTGTGTGTGTGTGTGTGTATGTGTGTATGTATCTATATGTGTGTTTGTATATGTTAATGTATGAGTGTATATTTTTGTTTATATATACATTAATTATACACAAATGAATAATTAAATTTTTCAAATTTACGACATTAACAGTTAAACTATTATTAATAGTCTAAAAATTTTAAATTAAATTTTAGGAAAACTAACAAACAAAATGCAAAAATCTATTTAATTGATTGAATTACAGTAAAATATTGCACAATATTTTCAAAATTACTTAAATACTATATTTTGTATAAATAATTTATTTTGTTTTTTTTAAAAATAGTTTATTTATTAAAAGGTTAATTCTATTAATCTAATCAACAACAAAAAAATTAAATGCTATTAATTATTGTTATTAACTTTGACGTAATAAACAATGTCAAAAAATATTTTTTAATATAATTTTTCAAATTAATTATGAACTATCAAAACATTTTAATCATATTTTAATATATATAGTTTAGTTTTTATTTATTTTTTTAAAAAAATTAATGTAATCTAAATCATAATTAATCTTTTAAAAATTAGCAGATTATTAACACACATATATACACACACACACACACATACATACACATACATACACATACATACACATACATACACATACATACACATACATACACATACATACACATACATACACATACATACACATACATACACATACATACACATACATACACATACATACACATACATACACATACATACACATACATACACATACATACACATACATACACATACATACACATACATACACATACATACACATACATACACATACATACACATACATACACATACATACACATACATACACATACATACACATACATACACATACATACACATACATACACATACATACACATACATACACATACATACACATACATACACATACATACACATACATACATACACACACACACACATACACACACACACATACACACACACACACATACATACACATTACATATCACGTACTTTATCATACAATTAGGTGTAAAAATATTTATACCAAAAAAAATATATCTTTCAAAAAATTATTATTAAATACTGTAATACTGTCTATTATTTAGCATCTATTAGTTTATTTCATATAAATTATTTATCTATATAACAAAACTGTACAAGTTGAATTAGTTTTATTGTTGATAACTAATGCTTTTTTATTATAATCTAATAATATCTTTAAAAAGGTTGAAAAAACAGTGATTTTTTTGGTTTAACAAATAATTTCAAGTAATATTTATGTAGAAAACATAGTTTTTAAACCAGGATTTAATGAGTATTATTAGTATATTAGTTATAAACAAAAAAACAATAGTTTATTATATATATATACAGTATATATATTGAAGATAACTATTTATCAGTTAAATTATTAATTTTTTTTGTGTGTAATAATTAATGTTAACTGATATATTAAATATATTATATATTAGCTAATAATAATTATCGATTACATTAATTACATGATATTTTAAGTGTAATATATAATATATTATACAATATATATATATATATATATTTTCTAAGAAATATTACACAATTAAATAGACTTATTTAATACACTTATTTAATATTTGATATCAAATAATAATAATAATTATTAATTATAATAATACAATATCTTTATCCAATTATATATTATATTTTCCACATAATAGTTAGTATTATTTAGTTGTAATAATCAAAAATAATTAACTAATAATTTTTTTTAGTGATAATAACTGTCACAATATTCAACTCAACAAATTAGCTGACAATATGTAATAATATAATTATTACTAATTATTATTATTATTATTATTATTATTACTATTAATTATCTCAATGTCAAGGATTGCCTATCAATTTAGTGATGTATATAAAAGCTATCGATTTTTTCAATAGGTTTTCAATATTAGTCGTATTTTTTTTTATTAATTATTAATTAATTTATATTTTTTTATATATTATTATTATTTTTTTTAAACAAAATGTTAAAATCTTGTCTTATATTATGTTCAATACTCTATTGTTTTGGACAAATCAATGCCGTATTAGATCCTAAAGTTGTCTGTTATTATGATAATTGGCGTAAGTTTTTAATAAAATTAATTAATTTTAGAGAGAAAATTATATAAAAAAAAATAAATTAATTAATTTAAAAATAATTTTTAAAAATATTATTTTATTTTATTATTTTAAACAAATATGTAGTCACTTGGCGTACGGATGAATCAAAAATAACTGTCACTGATGTCGGTTAGTATTGTGTTATATATATATATATATATATAAAACATTAATTAAATTTAATAATTGTTATAATTAATTAATTAATAACTAAATAAATAATTAATTTACATATAACAATTAATTTGTTAAGAAATAATTATGTTATATACTGTATATACATATATGTTGTATATATATATATATAACATAATTATTATTAACTAATTAAAATAAAAAATTAAAATAAATTTTAAATATTTATTAATAATTTATTAATTAATTAATAACTTACTAAATAATTAATTATATATTACAATTAATTAGTTAATAATAATTATGTTTTATATATATATATATATATATATTGTAATTATATAATTATTATTAACTAATTAAATAAAAATTAATTTATATATATTAATATATATTATTGTTTACTATACCATATATATATATATATATAGACAGTACACTATGCACGCACATAGTCTATGGCTACCTGGGCGTTACATCCGGTAGTAAAATATTTATCGATGACCCGGACCTACTTATCAAGCGAAGTATGATTTTTTAATTAATTTTATATTATTATTATTATATATATGTATATAAATTTATTTTATTTTTTTTTAAAAAAAAACAGAGGACCTTGAACATTTTACCGGCAATAAGGGCTCGGCTAAGGCACTGTTATCTCTGGGCGGTTGGGGCTACTCCCAGGATCCGGACAAAAAAGATAACTGGGTTAGCAATCTACTCAATCACCCGGTTGCATTTGTTGACGATGTTATGGACTTTATGAAAACATACGGTTTCGATGGTATTACTATCGACTGGTCACGGGATGTCTGGACCGACTCGGATATGTCAGACTATGTTAAGGTATTGAAAGCCCTGAGATCGGAGTTCGGTACCCGATATACACTGGCCGTTACATTGGGTGCCACTACTGTACGCTATGATGTTAAAAGTGTTAGCGAGTAAGTGTACAGTACATACCTGTCCCCTATATTTTTGTGTTGTTTACTAATTATGTGTTATCATGTCTATATATAGGTTAGTCGACTTTATAACTGTCCAAACCATTGACTATCATGGCAACTGGGATGACTCGGTTGATTTTGCTGCGCCCATTGATTCCCAATTGACAACAATGAATCGTTGGTATACTGCCGGTGCCTCCCAGAGCAAATTGATTGTATGTATTACCCCCCCCCACACACACACACATACACACATATACACACATATACACACATACACATACACATACACATACACATACACATACACATACACATACACATACACATACACATACACATACACATACACATACACATACACATACACATACACATACACATACACATACACATACACATACACATACACACATACACACATACACACACACATACACAAAACAAATAATAATAATTAAAAAACTATATATCCATTTGTTTCTCTAGATGACTATACCATTCTATGCCCATACCTGGACCCTGAAAGACAGTACCCATTCGGAACCTGGTGCTCCAGCTAAGGGACCGGGAGTTGCCGGCCCGTGGACTAAAGCTGCCGGCAAATTGGGTTACAATGAGGTATTGAAATATTTTGTTGTTGTTGTTGTTGTTAACTATCAATCAATAATCCTAATTAACTAACCTAACCATAACCATCCTAATTAACTAACTAATCTAACTATCCTAATTAACTAACTAGCCTAACCGTCCTAATTAACTAACTAACCTAACCGTCCTAATTAACTAACTAACCTAACCATCCTAATTAACTAACTAACTTAACCATCCTAATTAACTAACTAATCTAACTATCCTAATTAACTAACTAGCCTAACCGTCCTAATTAACTAACTAACCTAACCGTCCTAATTAACTAACTAACCTAACCATCCTAATTAACTAACTAACTTAACCATCCTAATTAATTAACTAATCTAACTATCCTAATTAACTAACTAATCTAACCATCCTAATTAACTAACTAATCTAACCATCCTAATTAACTAACCTAATCGTCCTAATTAATAACTAACCTAACCGTCCTAATTAACTAACTAATCTAACCATCCTGCTTAATAACTAACCTAACCATATTAATTAATAACTAACATAACAATCCTAATTAACTAACTCCCCACCCCTACCCACCTATCAATAGATCTGCACCGGTATTATAGCCCATCCGAGTTCGTGGAAGATAACTCGGGACACCAAAAGCCAATCGATATACGCCGTCTACGGTGACCAATGGATCAGTTTCGAAGATCCCTTATCCTTGGAGGAGAAAACCCGATCGTCCACCAGCCAGGGTTACGGTGGCGTAACCGTACAGGCCCTGGAAAACGATGACTTCCGTAACCTATGTAACCAAGGAAAGTGGTCACTGCTGAAAGGTGTCCAAAAAGGATTGGATCGGACGCCGGTAACCCGACCACCCGTCACCGATCCGCCCATACCTACTAGCGATCCGACAGCTATCTGCAAATCGGAAGGCCTGTTCAAAGATCCTACCGACTGTCATGTCTATCATAATTGTATACAATATTTTCCCGGTGTCTATACGGATGAGATAAAACATTGCGATAATGGCCAGGGATTTGATGATAAACTAAAGAAATGTGTGGAAGAATCACTGGTTCCCGGATGTCATTGAAGAAGATCAATATCAATGGTGTTGTTGAAGACAATCATTGATTGATGGGTTAAACCAAACCAAACAAAAATCATAATCAAATCAAACCCAACAAAAAAAAATATATAATTTTTAGTTAATAACTATATATATATATAAAAAATATTATGTATATTAATTACATTTGTATTATACAGTATATATTAGTATAATATTAATTTTTTTTTTAATTAATTAATTATATACCAATTGAATTACTATTATTATTATTATTATTATTATTATTATTATTTTGTTTGTTTGTAGTAAACAATAATCAATAATATTATTATAATTAAAATAAAACTATTATAATTATATTTCCGGTATTATAATTTTTTGTGATATATATATAAGACAATTGATAGTTTAAAAACTATACTATTAATATATATATATAATTAAAACTTGATTTTTAACAAATTAAACTGTATTTATATAAAATTAATATATATTTATATTTATACTGTATATAACTATTAACCATTAATTGTATAGTTATTACCAAATTAACAATTAATAATAACAATTAAATATTAATTGAAATAAATCTATTTTTTATTTATTAATATAATTTATATATTTAAAAATTATACAATTTTTTTTAAATATTTGTGTCTCTCTCTCCTATTACAGTATTTACTTATTTTAAGTTATTATTATTATTATTATTATCAATAATAATAATATTTCATTTAGTAGTAGTAGTACTAGTAGTTAGTAATAGTATCAAAGTGTATAACATTTTTTCATAAATCTATGTATAATGAAAATAATTAATTAATTAATTAATAGTTCATTATTCAAAATAATAATTATAATAATATATAAAATTTTTGCTTTTTTAAAATCTATTCAATAAATTTATATATTTATCATATATATATATATATATATATATAATATATATCAGTGTGTATTAAACTAACAATTTACAATAATTAAATTTCATCATTAAATTTGTGTACATATATATATATATATATATATATATATAATTACTTAATAAAAATCTTATATATATATATAATGATAATAATAATAATAACCAAAATATGATACATAATATATATATATACTTATCATTAATTAAATCTAGGATATGATGATAATAATAATAATAATAATAATAATAATAATAATAATCAATCAGTAAGTCAATCAATCGATAATAATTAATTAACCAAAAAAAAGTTCATTTAAAATAATATATATATCAATTTAAATCTATGATAATGTATATAAATCTATGAAAAATTAATCAAAAAAAAAAAATTTAAACAAATTATCATAATAATTACTAATAATAATTAATTAATTATATATAATATAATAATTTAATAATAATATGTGTGTTTGTGTTTATCAAAACAACAACAACAAAAAAAACTAAATAATAATTAATTAATAATAAATGATTGAATCAGTAATTATAATATAATATAATATATATCGACAGTGAATATACTGTATATAAATGAGGTGTGATTTTGTACTCTAATAATAATAATTAATAATAAAAAATATATATAATATGTTATAATAATTGGTAATCAAATTAAATCAATCAATTAATAATAATAATTATAATTAAAAAAAAACAATTGAATTATCATTTATTTAGTAGTCGTTGTCGTCGTCGTAGTCGACGACGACGATGAGGACGACTGTTGCTGTGACTGATGATTATGATGTTTGCCATTAGGCGGCGGCGATGACATCAATGATGATGATGAAGATCCTACTGCTAACGATGACATTTTGATAGGTATGGCCGCACTGTGTGTCGACCGGATCCGAATCTTGTGGGCGTTGGGTGTCTGGTGGCCGTGTCGTTGCTGATGTACTTTCAGATTGCCGGCCTGACTGGCCGAAAACGTACAGCCCTTGAACTGGCACTTAAACGGACGTTCGCCTTGAAAACAGACAGATAGATAGATAGATAGGAGGGTATTAGTTATGATAAGATAATCAATGTGCCGGTACCAATACCCACACCCCCAGCACCCACCCCAACCCCTATATACATACCAGTGTGTACTCTATAATGTCGTTCAACATTTTGCTTATAACTCGATATAAATTCACAGCCTTTCCAATTGCACTTATATTTGTCGCCAAACTTATGGGACGTTTTATAGCCTATCGGTAATAATAATAATAGACAATAGGGTTAGTCAACAAACATTATGGATCAGTTAGTTATGGATATCAATCAATCAAAAATACCTCTATTATCCGATTTTCGTTTGCGTGGACTCTGGAGATTGGTTTGGATATTATTCGGGAAACTTTTTCGGGCACCTTTCGGCAGTGTCCGTTTCGGTATAAATTCGGTAGTATCGGTCATATCCAGATACTGGACACCACCACCACCACCACCACCGACGCCGGAACCGTTGTTCGGGTTATCTAAACCGCTACCAAACAGTATCGTATTGTCATCAAACTGGTCGTCAATTAGATCCAGTTCGGGCATCGGCTGATCGTCATCATCGTCGTCGTCGTCGTCCTCGTCATTATCGTTGACATTGTCGTAGTCGTCATCGTCTTCAAGCAGATCTTCGTCGGCAATGTCTTCCAGTAGCCGATCGGTAAATGCATCGTCCGTTTCGATAACATCCAGCAGTGTATGGCCAGCGGCTACGGCTGCGGCCGATGATGACGAGGTATTGGCCGCATTGGATGACTATATTTAATAATAATAATAATCAGTTAATAATAATAATAATAAATATTAATTAAATTAAATTATCAGTAAAACAATAGTACCGTAAATACTAACTAATAATAATAATAAGTATTAATTAATTAATTAAATTATCAATAAAACAATAGTACGGTAAATACTAATTAATAATAATAATAAGTATTAATTAATTTAATTATCAAATAAAACAATAGTACCGTAAATACTAACTAATAATAATAATAATATCTAAACTAAAACAAAACTTATCTAAAATTTTTTAAATAAATATATATTACAATAAAATTTAATTTTTACAAAAAAATAAATAAGTTTTAGATATAATAACAAGTTTTTTTAGATAATAAAAATTATTATTATTATTATTATTCCTATTATTTGGTATTATTTTGTTAACTAAATTGTATTAAATATAAATTACAAGCAAACTATGGGAGTTATTATTATTTGTATTATTATTATTATTAGTGTATTAAATAACATTATTAGTGAAAAATGTGGAGGAAAAATAAGTGGGTCAAAAATTATTGGGCAAAATAAACTACATAAGCATTTTATACAGTATATTATAACTGTATTATTATTATTATTATTATTACCGGTAAATATTGAATAAATGTTAAAACATTAGATCATATATAATATAATATCTTATGTTTTTTGTTGTATAATAATGTTAAAGCAAAAAAATTTTAAAGACATTTTAATCATATTTTTGTTTTGTTTTTTGAATATGTAATGATAGCTAAAACTAATAATTATAAATAATATACATATAATATATATATTGTAATAAATAAATTTTAAAAAAAAATTCAAAATGCATTTCAATATACAGTTATATTATTATAATATATTAAAAATTATAATAATAAAAGTACTGATAATTTAATAATAAACATATAGTTATATATATATACATATATATGTATATACAGTATATTTGACTGCAAATAATCTCATAGATTCACTGACTGATTGATTAATAGTTTTTTTTATAAATATAACAAAAAATCATTAAAAGCAATAACTAAAAGACATTTTGGTTGACACACACATACAGTACAGTACATACATAAGCAATATATACATAAGCAATATATACATAAGCAATACATACATAGCATGCAATCCATACCTACAATATATTATTATTATTATTTACTGTACAATCATTAAGTAATAGTACTGTAGTTTAGTGTATAGTTAAAGTATTGTAAAGCATTAGGTTTTTATCAATGATTATTATTATTATTAATACTGTATTATACCAGTGCTGCTGCAGCAGCTTATGTATGTATGCCACACATACATAAGCACATACACACACACACACACACACTAGCAAAATATGTTTATGGGAGAGTGCATTATATTATTTTTATGAAAGCACACACACACACATATACATAGTAATAAACATATCTAATAGTAAAATAATGTATAATATTATTATTATTATCATTGATTACAATAGCAATAATCACAACAACAACAACAACACATACATACTGTACTTAACATACATAAGCAATGCATTCAAACAACAATCAACAACAAACAAAAAAAATTATAACAATATATATGAATATAATCGGTAAATCAATTTCCTAGTGGCCATTGACCGCACACATACACACCGCACATATACACACATACATATACACACATACATATACACACATACATACACACACATACATACACACAAACACATAGGGAACGGGTGGGTATGTATGTACGGCACACACATATACCGGTACTGATTAATACCAACCTTCAAATGTCTGTTTGATGATGAATAGGATGAGTTGTTATTATTGGCTACCGATGCCGATGCCGATGTCGAGGACCTGGCGATTGACTTTTTACAGGACTCGTACTCTGTTTGCAATTGTTTGCACACTTTAACACAGTTATTGATATCCAGTTTCAGCTGATGATAGCTAAGCTGTTGGCCAACACTACTATCGGTAGCACCGGCTGTAGCTATCGTACCATTAGCTGCTGGTGAAACAGCAGCAGCACCTGTACCACCACTACCACTACCACCACTACCAGCAGCACCGGTAGTATTATCGTTGGTCAGTTCAATAATCAGACCATTCAGTTTGGATATATACTCGTTTTGTGCTAGTTTAACCTGATCCAGTACCTTGGTCAATTGTTTTTCATGGTATAACTGTTGTCTCAAACGCAGCTCCGACTGTTTCAGGTGACGGTTCTCATCTTCTAACTGTCCGTTTCTCAGCAACAGTAGTTTGACTTCACTTTTTAACATATCCATCGTTTTTTTTTGTGGGGGGTAATCTTGATGTCGATGCTGCTGATGATGGTTAGGGGACAGTCGTGTTGTTGTAGTAGTTGATGGTTAGGGTCAGTCGTGTTGTTGATGGTTAGGTTATGGACAGTCGTTGTTAATGATGGTTAGGGTTAGGGGCCAGTCGTGTGTTGTTAATGATGGTTAGGTTTCGGTAGTGTCTGTAAGTGTAAGATTTATTTAAGAAGGATATGGATGGATGGGGTGGGTGTGTATAGTACACACACACACACACACACCGACACCGATACCGATACCGACCGACACAACAATTAAAAAGCTTAACTATCCTTAAAAAACAATGATATAGTTATCCAACTAATTATTATGATATCATATAAAGCAAACATACATATCATATATGAATATGCAATACACATATATGACTACCAAAAAAAAAAAAAAAATGAAAAGCATTTAGTTTTTTAAATGTTTTGTTTTTTTTAGCATTAATTTTATATTATAATTAAAAAATAAAACACATTCAATATATAATATCAATGATTATTATTATTATAATATGTATAATATGTATATCATATATGTATATCACATAGCAATCAATGAAATCAATTAATATGTGTGAATCACTTTACTAACTAATAATAATAATAATAATCTTTAAGCATATGATATATCATATAAAAGATATCATTAAAAATGTTTTATTTTTTTTTGGGTGAAAACTATTTATTAATATTATTATTAATACAATGTGTTTTTAAATGTGTTTTTAAACTGCACTTTAAATACAATGATTTAAATTAAATTAATTATTATTTAGTTTAATTTAGTTTCAAGTTTAATCATCCAACACCACAGTTACACATAATTAAAAAACTTTTAACTTAGGATCCGATTAGGAGGGGTGTGTGTGTGTGGGTGTGTGGGTCCACAAAAATTTAAATCATTTTTAATATTTAAATTAATAATTGAAACACAAATAAAATCTTCATTACATTTACAAACTATACAAACGTTTTATTGTAAGATTTGTTTACTTTTTTTGTATGGCTATTATTATTACAACACATAATACTACATGTATAGCATTGAGAGAGAGAGAGAGAGAGAGAGAGAGAGAGAGAGAGTTGGTTAAAGTTAAAGCAAAATTCAATGCTTTCCTCTCTCTCTCTGTCTCTCTCTGTCTCTCTCTCTCTCTGTGTATTGACTTCAATGCCCTCTCTCTATTGAAATGGTTATATACATTATGTGTGTGTGTGTGCTATCCCTACCATAAATTACGTCAATTAGAAAAATATACATAGATAATTTTTTGTTAATTTGTCTGAAGAGAGAGAGAGAGAGAGAGAGTAGTGTATGTGTGTGTGTGTGTGTATGTGTGTATGTGTGTATGTGTGTGTGTATGTGTATGTGTGTATGTGTGTATGTGTGTGTGTATGTGTATGTGTGTATGTGTGTATGTGTATGTGTGTGTGTATGTGTATGTGTGTATGTGTATGTGTGTGTGTGTGTATGTGTATGTGTATGTGTATGTGTATGTGTATGTGTATGTGTATGTGTATGTGTATGTGTATGTGTATGTGTATGTGTATATATGTGTGTGTGTGTGTGTGTGTGTTTGTGTATGTATGTGTATGTATGTATATGTGTATGTGTGTGTGTATGTGTGTGTATGTGTGTGTGTGTGTGTGTGTGTGTGTGTGTGTGTGTGTGTGTGTGTGTGTGTGTGTGTATAATAATGACTCTCTATAATAAAAAAGCTTATGTATGTGTGTTTAATAGTAGATATTAAACAGCAAAATATTGCTTTTTAAAAATCTCTTACTGTCCTAATAGTTTCCCCCCCTTTTTTTGTTGCTGTATAAAAGGGAAAATATATTTAATTTGTGTTAGAAATAAATTATTTTATGTTTTTTGTTACTTTTAATTATTATATATATTGAAACACTGGGAATATTAGTAAACTAAGGGAATATATTATTTTATTAAAGGGAAATGTAATTGTATTGACTTTGTCTACTCAACTAACATGAAAGCTAAATATTCTCTCTCTCTCTCTCTCTCTCTCTCTCTCTCTCTCTCTCTCTCTCTCTCTCTCTCTCTCTCTCTCTCTCTCTCTCTCTTTCTCTCACTCACTATCTATACATAAATACAGTCTCTCTCTCTCTCTCTCTCTCTCTCTGTGTGTGTCTCTGTCACACACACACACACTGTATGTGTATGTGTGTGTGTGTGTATGTGTATGTGTATGTGTATGTGTATGTGTATGTGTATGTGTATGTGTATGTGTATGTGTATTTAGTAAAATTATTATTTATGTGTGTGTGTGTGTGTGTGTGTGTGTGTATGTGTGTTTATGTGTGTGTGTCTGTGTGTGTGTGTGTGTGTGTGTATGTGTGTTTATGTGTGTGTGTGTGTATATATATATATATGTGTATGTGTATGTGTATGTGTGTGTATGTGTATGTGTATGTATGTGTGTGTGTGTGTGTGTGTGTATGTGTGTGTGTGTGTGTMTGTGTGTGTGTGTGTGTGTGTGTGTATGTGTGAATGTTTGTGTTTGTAATATAAAGTTTTATATTATAAACTGTATGTAAAATTTATAACTAAACAACAATTTATTTTTTTTAATACTGTATACAAAAATGTTAAAAATAATGTTATCATTATTATTATATGATAATAATGTGAATAAAAAAATTGCAGTAAATTTTTTTATCAGATATATATATATATATTAAAATTATTTTGAATATGCAATCTATGCCCTTAAAAATATAATTTACATTTTTTTTATTAACTATACTTTACTGTATATATATATATTGACATTTGAAAGTCATCGCCAAACATACAGATAATGAAAATTAAAAAAAAAATAAGAAATATTTAATAAAACATTTAATATGTGATATATTAGTTTATAAATAATTTTATTTATTTATTTTTGTTTTCAAATAACTATAATTTTAAATAATATATTTTAAACTATTAATTATATATTTTTTTAAAAAAATGTTAATTAAAATATCTGATACATTATTCATTAAATTAATTATAAAATTGTGATTATTTTTTATTATTGTTGCAATTAATTTAAATATTTTTATAATAAATAAATAAATAATTATTTTACATACAAATTATATTATAATATATATATTATTCAAAAAGTTATTATTCAACAACAAAAAAATGATATTAAAAAAATATTATTATTTAATTAAATATTTATAATTTATATAAATAACTTATTTGCGTTCAAACAATTAAAAATAAAATAATAATAATTAGTGTCATTATCTACTATAAAATAAAAAATTAATAATAATTATTATTATCGCTTAATAACCGCTTAATAAAAGTTTTTTTTATTAATAATAATAATAATAAAACAAAAATATATATAATTTATAATTATTTGTAATACAACTAAACAGCTAAATAACGGGCAAAAAAAGTGGTCACAAAATGTCTCGTATTGTTAGCGCCGACCGATTGAATTGCATTGAAAGCAATGTTTGGGTCGAGTTTATCGAGTTGGCCAACAAATACAAGCCGCGGGTCAATCTGGGCCAAGGGTTTCCCGATTTTCCCGCACCCGAACACATATGCCGGGCATTGGCCTCGACGGTAGTCAATCCCGATAGACCATTGATCAATCAGTATACCCGTGATTGTGGTCATCCACGGCTGACCACTGTACTCAGCCAACTATATGGCCAGTTAGTTGGCCGGCCGATTGATGCTGATTCGGAAATATTGATAACATCGGGTGCCTATCAGTCACTATTCAATACATTCATGGCTTATGTCAATCCTGGCGACGAAGTCATAATTATTGAGCCCTACTTTGATTGTTACGAACCGATGACCCGATTGGCCGGCGGTATACCTGTTTTTGTACCACTGAGACCACGTAGACAGTCGCCGCCAGTCGACGGCGATGAGGACAGTCGTAGTCCATTGAGTTCAAGCAGTGCCGACTGGATCTTAGATCCCGAGGAATTGGAGTCAAAGTTTTCGGATAAAACCAAGTTTATTGTTGTCAATACACCTAATAATCCATTGGGAAAGGTATGTAAAGCTCATACCTGATAGAGAGAGATACAGTGAGAGAGACAGATAGATAAACAGATAGAGAGACAGATAGAGAGACAGATAGAGAGACAGATAGAGAGAGAGAGAGAGACAGATAGAGAGACAGATAGAGAGACAGATAGAGAGAGACAGATAGAGAGAGACAGATAGAGAGAGACAGATAGAGAGAGACAGATAGAGAGAGACAGATAGAGAGAGACAGATAGAGAGACAGATAGAGAGACAGATAGAGAGACAGATAGAGAGACAGATAGAGAGACAGATAGAGAGACAGATAGAGAGAGACAGATAGAGAGACAGATAGAGAGACAGATAGAGAGACAGATAGAGAGAGACAGATAGAGAGAGAGAGAGAGAGAGAGAGAGAGAGAGAGAGAGAGAGAGAGAGAGAGAGACAGATAGAGAGACAGATAGAGAGAGACAGATAGAGAGACAGATAGAGAGAGACAGATAGAGAGAGACAGATAGAGAGACAGATAGAGAGAGACAGATAGAGAGACAGATAGAGAGAGACAGATAGAGAGACAGATAGAGAGAGACAGATAGAGAGAGACAGATAGAGAGACAGATAGAGAGAGACAGATAGAGAGACAGATAGAGAGACAGATAGAGAGAGACAGATAGAGAGAGACAGATAGAGAGAGACAGATAGAGAGACAGATAGAGAGACAGATAGAGAGAGACAGATAGAGAGAGACAGATAGAGAGAGACAGATAGAGAGAGACAGATAGAGAGACAGATAGATAGAGAGAGAGAGAGAGATAGAGAGACAGAGAGAGACAGAGAGAGACAGAGAGAGAGACAGAGAGAGAGAGAGAGAGAGACAGACAGAGACAGAGAGACAGAGACAGAGACAGAGACAGAGACAGAGACAGAGAGAGAGAGTTTTAATAGTTTTGTTGTTAATAATACGATAATAATAAGGTCTACACTCGCGAGGAACTGGAACTAATCGGGCGATTATGTCAGAAATATGACTGTCTCGTTGTTATGGACGAAGTATACGAATGGCTCATATATCCCGGTTCTCCCCAACGACAACACACACGTATGGCATCCCTGCCGGGTATGTGGGACCGGACCTTAACCATCGGATCGGCGGGTAAAACATTTAGCGTAACCGGTTGGAAAATCGGTTGGACATACGGACCCAGGGATCTCATCCGACCTCTGTATCTCATACATCAATCAAATGTATCGTCATGTGCGACACCCATACAGGAGGCGCTGGCCATTGGTTTTGAACTGGAATTGAAACGGTTAGATACAGACCAGTCGTATTGGCGACAGTTAACCGAGTCGTTGGTCGGGAAACGGGACAAACTATCAGCAGTGCTATCGACTAACCGATTGATGCCTACCGTACCCGATGGCGGCTATTTTATGGTAGCCGATTGTAGCCAATTGTTGGCCACCGAAAAAGTTGATATTACTGGGGAATCGGGTCCGACCAGAGGCTGGCGTTTTGCCCGATGGTTGTCCAAACATCGGGGCCTACAGGTAATACCGGTCAGTGCTTTCTACTCACGAGAACATAACTGTTTAGCCGAAAATCTCATACGATTTTGTTTTTGTAAAACTGACCGATCATTGGAAACGGCCGAACAAATTATACGGGAACTGATTGGTTGATAGGGACAGACATATTAACTAACTATTCTATAGCTAACTGTCCCCTCAAAACAAAAATAAAAATAAATAAAACTCTTCATCTCAAATTTTTTTAAAATTTTTTTTTTGATGTTATTAACTAAATGTTAATATTTAAAAAAAAAACAAACATTTATTTTGCAAAATTATTATTATTTTTTAATTAAATAAATAAATGTGTGTGTATTCAAAGTAATCGGGTATTTAATTAAAATTGAAAAATTATTTTTTTTTTTAAATAAATAAAATTAAAATTAAATAAATGATGACATTATTAAAAAAATAAAATAAAAAATAGTCAAAAATGTAGTCAATAAAAATTATTACCAATAGTCTAAACGGGATGTAAGTGTACGGGTCGGGTCGGGTCGGGTCGGGTCGGGTCGGGTCGGGTCGGGTCGGGTCGGGTCGGGACGGGACGGGACGTGTTTAATGATTAGTTATTTTTTTATTGAAAAATATGGTTAATTCTCCCGAAATTTTATCGACAATCCAATCGATAATACAGATATAAAAATCTTTTTTGCAAACATTTGCTGGTTTTGTGTCGTCTTCTTCTTCTTCTTCCTTTTGGTTATCATTGGTCCCTTCAATGGCCAACTTATTCAGTGCGTCAGTGACTGCCGCCGATCGGGCCTTCTCTATGTCATCTATAGACAAATCAAAGGCTTCGTTGGCCACCAATCGGACAGCCGATTGCCGTTCGGCTGCTACCGATCCGACAATATGGTCGACCAATTTGTTCAAATCATTGTAAGCCTTGTCCGCCAGTTTGACGCCCTGTTGCCGAACGTTATGAGTCGCCAGTCTATACGGCTGTTCAAATCCCGCGTACATTTCGACACTGACGGCCCGTTTCAGAGCCCTGATTGCCTGTTTGGCCACCAATTCAATGGACTGTTTAATAGATTTTTCATTGGGAATCATTGAATCTGTTTGTTTGCCGCTGTTGGTCACGATTGCCTGTTTGGCCGCCAAATCGACCACTTGTTTGACATTTTTATTGTTGTTTTTGTCGGGCAACACACTAGTATCGGGTGGTCCGCCAGTGTTGGTCGCAACTGTCATCGGCGGCGGCATCGGATCGCCAACTGATTTGTTTTCGTCGCTATTATTATTCACAGTAATTATTAAAGTCAAGAAAATAATAAAAAATTTTAATAAAAAAATATTAAAAAATGATAACATTATTATTATTATTTGATTTATTTTTATATTTTTAAATAATAATCACTAATATAATAGTATTAGTATAACGTTATATTTAGTATATATATATATATATATAATATTTATAATTATAATATTTAGTGTAATGTATATGTAAATTATATTCAATAAAAATATATATATATTTACTGTATATTATTATTATTATTAGTATTATTATTAACTTTGAATGTGAAACTAATTTTTGAACTTTTTTTGTTAATATTTTTAGTCCAATTAATATCATTAGTAGTGGTATTTGTGTTTAATTTTTCAAACATTTTATGGCCAGTAGTTTCTAGACTATTAATATCAAAATTCATACCTAAGATAATTAAATAAATAATAAAAAACAAAAATTTAATCAATTATTTCTCATAAATTAAAAAAAAATATATTCAGTTATATATAAGTTTCAAACCCATTGATGGCAAACAGTTAGTGATTGTAAAGTTTATTACAAAAACTATGATAAAAATTATTATTAATTTGATTGTTGTATGAATTTTCAACATTATTATTGATCATTAATAAACAATATAATTGTCAAAAAATTTTTTTTATAAATTTTATTACTAAAATAAAAATGTGTTTTTATTAAAAATCAATTTAATGCCAGTTTTATATTTAAACGCAAACAATATGATTAACATTTGATAAACAATTTATTTTGATTTTTGTTTTACTGGAAAAAAATTAAACTTACTTTTAATCCCCTCTAAAAACACATACATATTGTTAATATAAATATTAATTCAAAAAAAAAATTATTATTTCCTATTAGATTATAATAATAATAAACTATTTGTTTGTATAATAAGTTTTGTAAATAAACATATAATTAATATATATATATATATTTCTTAATATTTATTGTGATTAATATCAAAATCAAATATGAAGACAAAAATTTTAATATACAAAATAAATAAATAAATAATAATAATAATAATAATAATAATTAATATTATATATATATATAATTAATAATAATAATTATTATTATTATTATTATAATTATTATAATCACATAAAAACCGCTTAATAAAAGTTTTTTAATAATAATAATAATAATAAAACAAAAATATATATAATTTGTAATTATATGTAAAACAACTAAACAACGAAAAAAAGTGGTCACAAAATGTCACGTATTATTAGCGCCGACCGATTGAATTGCATTGAAAGCAATGTTTGGGTCGAGTTTATCGAGTTGGCCAACAAATACAAGCCGCGGGTCAATCTGGGCCAAGGGTTTCCCGATTTTCCCGCACCCGAACACATATGCCGGGCATTGGCCTCGACGGTAGTCAATCCCGATAGACCATTGATCAATCAGTATACCCGTGATTGTGCGGCCATCCACGGCTGACCACACTGTACTCAGCCAACTATATGGCCAGTTAGTTGGCCGACGGATTGATGCCGATTCGGAAATATTGATAACATCGGGTGCCTATCAGTCACTAATCAATACATTCATGGCTTATGTCAATCCTGGCGATTGAAGTCATAATTATTGAGCCCTACTTTGATTGATTGTTACGAACCGATGACCCGATTGGCCGGCGGTATACCTGTTTTTTTTGTACCGCTAAGACCCAGTATACCCGAGAGATTGTGTGGTCATTCACGGCTAATATCGAAAAATAAATTTCAAACAGTTTTCTATATTTCTACGCAAACAATATGATTGATAACATTTGATTAAACAATTTTTTTGTTGTTGTAATTTTACAGAAATTACAAAAAAATAAATAAATAAATACTTATTTTTAAATCTCCATTAAAAACATATACAGTATTAATATAAATCACAAAAAATTTATTTCCTATTTGTATTAAAAATACAAATCATTCATTAAGTCATTTTTTTTAAAAATTTAACATTTAATTTGTTTCTAATTTTTAATTACAGGTAAATATAATAATTCAAATGTCTATTAAGTATGTTTAGATAATTAAAAATTATTTTTTTTTTAAAAAAAAATTAATAATAAAAATTAAGTAAATATTAAAAATGAAATTATTAAAAAAAAGTGCATTAATAATAATAATAATAATAAGTCAATCAAAATTAAAAACAAAAATACATTACAATTCGGGTAATATGTTGTCGGGTCGGGTATTAACGGGATGGGATGGGACTGTACGGAACGGGACGTGTGTTAACTAGAGATGTTATTTATTTATTTTTAGTTTTAGTTTTTTTTTTGTTGAAAAAGATAGTAATTTCTGCCGAAATTTTGTCTAAAAGCCAATCAAGAAAACAGTAAAAAAAATTATTTTTACAGAAATTTATAGGTTTTTTGTCGTCATCTTCTTCTTCTTTTTCCGATAATTTTATTGTAAGACTTGGGCCGACAGTTGTCGAGGAGGAGGAGGAGGAGGAAGAGGAGGAAATTTTTTGAATGTTGTTGTTGTTGTTGATATCGTCGTCATCATTGGTCAAGACATTCAGCGTATGGATGGCATCTTCGATGGCTTTAATCATCTGTTTGTTCAGTTCTTTTGTCAGACTATCCAATACATTATCAATGAGCGCTTCCATCAGCTCATCCTTGATGTGATTGCGTTTAAAGTCAGTTACAATGGATGCCAACCATTGTTGGCTATCGCGATAGGCCTTAAGCCCGGCCCGCCTGACGGCTTGTCTGGTCGACAAGCGGTCAACACCGAAGTCGCGATGATTGCCGCCGCCATAGAGTCCGTTGTGTAGAGCATTATTAACGGCCGACCATATCTGCCGACGGGCTCTATTGGACTCCAGTCGTAGTTTATTAACGAAATTATCAACTAATTTGTGGCCAATAGTGGTATCGATTCTTCGATCGGTAGCCAAACTAGTAGTAGTAGTGGTAGTGGTAGTAGTAATCGACGGATTGGTAGTTATCACCAACAGATCCGTTGTTGGTATCGATGAAACCGTCGATGACTTTATCAGTTCCGACTGGTTTACGATTTCAATGCTTGTTATGATAACAACAAAAACAACAAAAATATAAAATATTTTAGAAAGTTTTGAATATTTTCGAGAAAAACAAACCGCAAAAAATACAATTCATGGATAAAAAACATTTTTGATTTTTTGTTTGTTTTCTATTAAATATATTTTTAAAAAAAAATTAATTTTCACAAACAAAACAAAATGTTAATATAATATAAAAAATTTTTTTTAATAATTAGAAAATATTAATTTTTGTTTTTGATTATATTTATTATACATTATATACTTATAAATTATGACTAATAATAATATAAAGTATATATATATATACTATACTATACTTTTTTGTTGTGTTAATATTATTATTAATAGTAGTAGTAATAGTTGTTGTAATTTTTGGCTTAAACTTTAATAGTTTATCATCAGTTTGTATGGTATTTAATGCAAAATTTATATCTGAAAAATAATAATTAATATATATATTAAAAGTCAATTATTATTATTATTATTATTTAATATATATACAGTATAAATCATATAACAAACCCATTTTTGGTGAACATTTAATATTATTGATAGTAAAGTTCATTGAAATTATTATTATTACTGTAAAATAATTATTAGACATATTATTTAAATGTACAGTAATATACCGTTAAATTAGTTTATAAGTTTTTTAAACAACATATATATATATTATATATATATATATATTATATATATATATATATTTACTAATATCAGTTAACTCTATATATATATATAATTAAAAAATTAAATCAATAATTATAACAATTAGAGTATAATATCTATGGATATAATGCAATGAAAGTTATAATTTCAATGTTTAGTAAATTTTTTTTCTATCAATTGAATTATTATTTTATTAAAACAATTTTATTTAGTGTTTCATTTAAATACTAGATTTTATTTTTTTAATCCCATAATTAAACACATATACAAACTGTTAATCTAATCTATAATAATAATAATAAGTTTAATCCTTAAAAAAATTTTTGATTTCCTATTTGATTACAACTATCAAAGTTTAGTATTGTTGTTGTAAATGATTTTATTTAATTAAATAAATAGAAATAACTGTATTTATCGATAAATATTAATATTGAAGAATATAATAATAATAATAATAATAATAAACAAGGGTTAGTTCACATATTGCGTTTGAACTTGAGGGGAGTGGGGGGGGATTGGCCAAAGCGAACTTTTCCAAACAAATGGGATGGAAGGGGTAGAGACTTATTGACAATAAGTTATTGTAAGGAATAAATAAATTATGTGAATCGCCCCCCAAAATGTTAAACTTATTTATTAATAATAAATTTTAATATAAAATATCTAAATTATTTTTATTTATTTACTAATTGATAATTATTTATTAAATTATTAATAGTAAAAAAAAATCATAATAAATTTTATAATATAATTATAATTTTCAAAAGTTTCAAATATTAAATGAAAAATTAATACACAAATTGATTGACAAAAAAAAATTTGAATTACAAACAAAATTAAAAAAAAATTATGACATTATTTTAAAAACAATTATATATGTGTGGCGCACATGTATACCCATGCATAGATAGTGGGGAACTACATGTATATACGGTACACATAGAGTATGTTATATATATATATATATATATCTATGAATTTTTAACTGGAATCCTAATGGTCACAGCCTTACACTCTGTATACTCCCGAATGCCGTCTTCGCCCAATTCACGGCCATAACCGGACATCTTATAGCCGCCAAACGGTGTCTGAACCGCTGCCGTATCGTAACAGTTAACCCAAACGGATCCGGCTTTGACTCCCTGTGCAAATACCAGTGCTTTATTTAGATCATTGGTCAGTATACCCGAACCTAAACCATATTGTGTTGTATTTGCTCTTTTGATCACTTCATCCAATGATTTATATTTCAATATTTGCTGAACGGGTCCAAAGATTTCTTCACTACAACCATAAAAAATAATTGAATTGAATTGAAATGTTATGTTTGTATTGTATGGACAGGTAGTCTCTCTCTCTCTCTATATCTCTCTATATCTCTCTATATCTCTCTCGCTCTCTCTCTATCTATCTCTATGTCTCTCTCTCTCTCTAAACAAAAAAAAATGAATTTAAATTATATATTCATATATATTGTATGGACAGGTAGTCTCACTCTATCTCACTCTATCTCTCTCTCTCTCTCTTTATCTCTATGTCTTTCTCTCTCTCTCTTTCTCTAACTCTCTCTCTCTCTCTCTCTCTCTCTCTCTCTCTCTAAACAAAAAAAAATGAATTTAAATTATATATTCATATATATTGTATGGACAGGTAGTCTCTCTCTCTCTCTCTCTCTCTCTCTCTCTCTCTCTCTCTCTCTCTCTCTCTCTCTCTCTAAACAAAAAAAATGAATTTAAATTATATATTCATATATATTGTATGGACAGGTAGTCTCTCTCTCTCTCTCTCTCTCTCTCTCTCTCTCTCTCTCTCTAAAAAAATGAATTTAAACTATATATTCATATGTATATTAAGGACAGGTAGTTGTATTGTTTTAAACTAACTAACTAACCGTGCAATACGCATATCATCGGTAACATTGGCAAAAACAGTGGGTGCCACAAAATAGCCACTCGTACCCACTTTGACACCGCCGGTAACCAATTGGGCGCCCTCTTGTTTGCCACTTTCTATCAGATCCAATACATTACGCTCCTGTACGTCATCGATAATAGGTCCCTGTACGGTATCCCTTAATCGTGGATCACCTAATTTACGCGACTGGGCTAACTGAGCCGCTCGTTTGACAAATTCATCGTAAATGGATTCGTGTACAAAAGTTCGGGTACCGGCACAGCAGCACTGGCCTACAAAATGATGATAATAATAATAGCCAATAGTTAGCACAGGTATTATAGATTTTTGTTGTTGTTGTTTTTGTTGTTGGTTAGGTATAAAGACATACCAGTGTTAGCAAAACAGGCGTCGTGTGCTATACGGACAGCTTCGTCCAGATCGTAGTCTTCGGTGACCACTAGCGGCGATTTGCCGCCCATTTCCAGTGTTACACGTTTCATGTTGTCCGCGGCCGACGATCGGACAATCAGTTTGCCGACTTCGGTCGAACCGGTAAATGCAATCTTATCGACATCCGGATGGCCAGTCAATGCCGCACCGGCCGTATGTCCATAACCGGGTACAATGTTGACTACGCCCGGCGGAAACCCGGCCTCTTTGACCAGACTGGCCGTATAGAGTGCCGATAGAGGTGTTTGTTCGGCCGGTTTCAGTACAACCGTATTGCCGGTGGCCAGTGCCGGCCCGAACTTCCACGATAACATCACCAGCGGATAGTTCCACGGTATGATTTGGCCGCAAACACCGATCGGCTCCAGTCGGGTAAATGCAAACTGTTTGCCGTCTATTGAATGGGTCAATCAAAACAAACAGTTAGTTGTGTCCAATTTAGATGGACAGTTAGTTTAGTAACCGCCTCCCCCTCCCTCATCACCCGTCCCCGCCCAATTACCTGCTGGTATGGTATTGCCGTGAACTTTGTCAGCCCAGCCGGCATAGTAGCGAAAAGTGCCGATAACGCCGTCGATATCAAACTCGGCTTCGGCTATCGGCTTACCGACATCGGCCACCTCCAAGTCCAGCAGTATCTCCCGGTCCCTTTCAATCAGATCGGCCAATCGGTTAAGCAGTCGACCCCTCTGGGAGGCGTCCATTGTACGCCATTCAGAGTTCAATTCAAATGCACGTTTGGCCGCTTTTACCGCTGCTATCGATGTTTGAACTAATTTGTGTTTATAAAAATAGTCATATAATTTATTTTTATAATGTTATAAAAGACAATTAGGGGACATACAGTTACTTAGCTAACTGTTCCTCTAATAATAATGATAAACAACTAAATATATTTTTAAAAAATATAAATAATTTTATTATTAACTAAAATTTTAAATGTCTAGTTGTGTTTAGTAATGTTAATGAAAAAATAAATTATTTTATGTTTACACATAAAAAAATTACTTATAAATAATAATAATAATAAACTACTAATTAATAGTTAAAATTCTATAAAAAAAATATGTAGTATAATGTTATAATGTTTTTTAAAAAAAAAAAAATTTACTTAAAAAAGTATTATAAATGAAAAAAATGTTTTAAATTTTTTTATGTGTATATAAATTATAATGATTTAGCAAAAAATGTTAAAAATAAAATGTTTTGTCAAATCAAATCAAAAAAAAAATGTAATATCGGGTAAATGTATGGTTCGGGTCGTGATTTTATCGGGATTTTTCAATAAACAATAATTCATTCTTCGATAACATAGGAAGTGTTTATGAATTTTTTTTTGCCGGATAAATGTGTATTAATAGTTAGGGAATTGTTCTGCAAATACCAGTCAATAAAACGAAGAAAAACATTTTTCTTGACATTGATGTCGTCGTCTTTTTTTGTTGGAGAAGAAGAAGAAGAAGAAGAAGAAGTTGGTGCCAAATATGTCTGTTGTTTTGATGGTTTGCTGTCATCGATGTCTGGCTTAACAGTTGTTGTTGTTGTTATTGTCAAACCATCTGCAAGACTGGTGGCAACGGTTGTCGATGAGAAGGAAGACATGGTTAAGGCATCTTTGGCCAACTTATTGAGGGCATCAATGACTGCCACCGATCGGGCATTTTCTATGGTTTTCATCGCCAAATGTAAAGCTTTGTTGGCCAAATAACGGACACTAGATTGCCGTTCGGCGGCTACTGAACCGACAATCTGGTCGACCATTGCCGACAACTCATTGTATGCTTTAGCCTTGGCTTTGACGCCCTCTTCACGGACCGATTGAGCGGCCATTTGATATCCTTTATGAATACCACTGTCCATTGCACGGTCGATGGCCCGATCCAGTGACCAGACAGCCTGTTCGGCGACCAAATCAATGGATTCTTTAATAGATTTTTCATTGGGAATCATTGAATCTGTTTGTCCGCCGTTGTTGGTCCCGATTGTCTGTTTGGCCGCCAAATCGGCCACTTGTTTGACATTTTTGTTGCTGTTTTTGTCGGACAACAACACACTAGTATCGGGTGGTCCGGCAGTGTTGGACACAACTGTCATCGGCGGCGGCATCGGATCGACAATTGTTTTGTTTTCGTCGCTATTGTTATTTACAGTGATAGTCAAAGTCATGAAAATAATAAAAATTTTTAATAAAAAACTATTAAAAAATGATAACATAATTATTATTATTATTTGAATTATTATTACTTATAATTCAATAAAAAAAGTTTAAAGAATTTATATTTTTAAATCATATAATAACTAGTGATATATCAATAGTACTGTATAACTAAATATTTAGTGTATATATATATATATATAATATTTATAATTATGATATTTAGTGTGATGATATATGTAAAATATATTAAATAAAAAAAAATATATATATATAGTTACTGTATATTATTATTATTATTATTATTATTATTATTATTAGTATTATTATTATTAACATTGAATATGAAACTAACTTTTTGAAACTTTTTTTGTTAACATTTTTAGTCCAATTAATATCATTAGTAATGATATTTGTGTTTAATTTTTCAAACATTTTAGGGCCAGTAGTTTCTAGACTATTAATATCAAAATTCATACCTAAGATAATTAAATAAATAATAAAAAAAACAAAAAATTTAATCAATTATTTCTCATATCGTTTAAGTCAAAAATAATAATTAATAAAAAAATATATGTATATTAAAAGTTAATTATTATTATTATTTAATATATATATATATATACAGTATATATATATATTTATATCATATAACAAACCCATTTTTGGTAAACATTTAATATTATTGATCGTAAAGTTCATTGAAATTATTATTATTACTGTAAAATAATTATTAGACATATTATTTAAATGTACAGTAATATACCGTTAAATTAGTTTATAAGTTTTTTAAACAATATATATATATATTATATATATATTTACTAATATCAGTTAACTCTATATATATATATATATAATTAAAAAATTAAATCAATAATTATAACAATTAGAGTATAATATCTATGGATATAATGCAATGAAAGTTATAATTTCAATGTTTAGTAAATTTTTTTTCTATCAATTGAATTATTATTTTATTAAAACAATTTTATTTAGTGTTTCATTTAAATACTAGATTTTATTTTTTTAATCCCATAATTAAACACATATACAAACTGTTAATCTAATCTATAATAATAATAATAAGTTTAATCCTTTTAAAAAAAAATTTGATTTCCTATTTGATTACAACTATCAAAGTTTAGTATTGTTGTACAGTAAATGATTTTATTTAATTAAATAAATAGATATAAATAGAAATAACTGTATTTATCGATAAATATTAATATTGAAGAATATAATAATAATAATTATTATAAACAAGGGGTAGTACACATATTGCGTTTGAACTTGAGGGGAGTAGGGTGGGGTGGGGGAGGGGATTGACCAAAACAAACTTCCAAGCTAGGGGGAGTTATGGGGTATAGACTTATTGTAAGGAATAAAGAAATTATGTGAATCGCCCCCCCCCCCCCCAAAATGTTAAACTTATTTATTAATAATAAATTTTAATCTAAAATATCTAAATTATTTTATTTATTGACTAATTGATAATTATTTTTATTAAATTATTAATAGTAAAAAAAAAATCATAATAAATTTTATAATGATATTTTCGGTTATTATAATTATAATTTTCAAAAGTTTCAATTATTAAATGAAAAATTAATACACAAATTGATTGAAAAAAAAAATTTGAATTACAAACAAAATTAAACAAAAAAAATTATGACATTATTTTAAAAACAATTATATATGTGTGGCGCACATGTATACCCATACATATAGATAGTGGGGAACTACATGTATATACCAGTGTGAGTGCGCAACTGAAAATAGTACCTCTACACTATCAACTGAAGCACTGTTTTAAAAAATTAATTTCATGTACAGTAAGTGCCGACGAAATTAAACCAAAGCTTACAAATATATTTATTAAAATACTACATAAAAATTAAAATAGTAAGAAATTAATAGTTATAATTAATTAAATTTTAATAACAAATTTTTGATATTATTACTAATAATTTAAATAACACAATATTAAAATAAAAAATAATTAAATATCACAATGAAAATAATTGAAATATACATAAAAACATTTAAGTAAACAAAATAATAATCAATTTCTGCATCTATGTCTATTATAAATATAAATAAATACATTTTTCCTTCATCTTATCTGTAAACTAATTTTTTAATTTAAAATAAAATATATTTTTAAGTATTATGTTATTTATTATTTAAGTATGATTGTTTTACTAATTAAACGAACTTTAATTTTTTAAAATTATAATATTTAATAAAATTTTATTGCAACTAAATATAAATATATTTGTCAATTATTGTGGTTAAACTTTGTTGGCACTTACTGTACTGAAAAATTATTATTTAACTATATATCAAAACAATGTTTCAGTTGATAGTGTAGAGGTACTATTTTCGGTTGCATACTCACACTGGTATATACTGTATACACATAGAGTCTGTTATATATATATATATATATATATATATATCTATGAATTTTTAACGGGAATCCTAATGGTCACAGCCTTACACTCTGTATACTCCCGAATGCCGTCTTCGCCCAATTCACGGCCATAACCGGACATCTTATAGCCGCCAAACGGTGTCTGAACCGCTGCCGTATCGTAACAGTTAACCCAAACGGATCCGGCTTTGACTCCCTGTGCAAATACCAGTGCTTTATTTAGATCATTGGTCAGTATACCCGAACCTAAACCATATTGTGTTGTATTTGCTCTTTTGATCACTTCATCCAATGATTTATATTTCAATATTTGCTGAACGGGTCCAAAGATTTCTTCACTACAACCATAAAAAATAATTGAATTGAATTGAAATGTTATGTTTGTATTGTATGGACAGGTAGTCTCTCTCTATATCTCTCTCTCTCTCTCTCTCTCTCTCTCTCTCTCTAAACAAAAAAAAATGAATTTAAATTATATATTCATATATATTGTATGGACAGGTAGTCTCACTCTATCTCACTCTATCTCTCTCTCTCTCTCTTTATCTCTCTCTCTCTCTCTCTCTCTCTCTCTCTCTCTCTCTCTCTCTCTCTCTCTCTCTCTCTCTCTCTCTCAAAAAAAAATGAATTTAAATTATATATTCATATATATTGTATGGACAGGTAGTCTCTCTCTCTCTCTCTCTCTCTCTCTCTCTCTCTCTCTCTCTCTCTCTCTCTCTCTCTCTCTCTCTCTAAAAAAAATGAATTTAAATTATATATTCATATATATTGTATGGACAGGTAGTCTCTCTCTCTCTCTCTCTCTCTCTCTCTCTCTCTCTCTCTCTCTCTCTCTCTAAAAAAATGAATTTAAACTATATATTCATATGTATATTAAGGACAGGTAGTTGTATTGTTTTAAACTAACTAACTAACCGTGCAATACGCATATCATCGGTAACATTGGCAAAAACAGTGGGTGCCACAAAATAGCCACTCGTACCCACTTTGACACCGCCGGTAACCAATTGGGCGCCCTCTTGTTTGCCACTTTCTATCAGATCCAATACATTACGCTCCTGTACGTCATCGATAATAGGTCCCTGTACGGTATCCCTTAATCGTGGATCACCTAATTTACGCGACTGGGCTAACTGAGCCGCTCGTTTGACAAATTCATCGTAAATGGATTCGTGTACAAAAGTTCGGGTACCGGCACAGCAGCACTGGCCTACAAAAAAAAATAATAAATAATAATAATTAGTTAGCGCAGGTATTATAGATTAGTATTAGTTATTTTTGTGGTTAGATATATGACATACCAGTGTTAGCAAAACAGGCGTCGTGTGCTATACGGACAGCTTCGTCCAGATCGTAGTCTTCGGTGACCACTAGCGGCGATTTGCCGCCCATTTCCAGTGTTACACGTTTCATGTTGTCCGCGGCCGACGATCGGACAATCAGTTTGCCGACTTCGGTCGAACCGGTAAATGCAATCTTATCGACATCCGGATGGCCAGTCAATGCCGCACCGGCCGTATGTCCATAACCGGGTACAATGTTGACTACGCCCGGCGGAAACCCGGCCTCTTTGACCAGACTGGCCGTATAGAGTGCCGATAGAGGTGTTTGTTCGGCCGGTTTCAGTACAACCGTATTGCCGGTGGCCAGTGCCGGCCCGAACTTCCACGATAACATCACCAGCGGATAGTTCCACGGTATGATTTGGCCGCAAACACCGATCGGCTCCAGTCGGGTAAATGCAAACTGTTTGCCGTCTATTGAATGGGTCAAACAAAACAAACAGTTAGTTGTGTCCAATTTAGATGGACAGTTAGTTTAGTAACCGCCTCCCCCCTCCCTCATCACCCGTCCCCGCCCAATTACCTGCTGGTATGGTATTGCCGTGAACTTTGTCAGCCCAGCCGGCATAGTAGCGAAAAGTGCCGATTACGCCGTCGATATCAAACTCGGCTTCGGCTATCGGCTTACCGACATCGGCCACCTCCAAGTCCAGCAGTATCTCCCGGTCCCTCTCAATCAGATCGGCCAATCGGTTAAGCAGTCGACCCCTCTGGGAGGCGTCCATTGTACGCCATTCAGAGTTCAATTCAAATGCACGTTTGGCCGCTTTTACCGCTTTATCGATGTCGGCCTGTAATTTGTGTGTATGTATATATATATATAAAAAACAGTCATATTTTTTATGTGTATGTGTGGTATGGGTATGGGTATGGGTATGGGTATGAATATGGGTATGGGTATGGGTATGGGTATGGGTATGGGTATGGGTATGGGTATGGGTATGGGTATGGGTATGGGTATGGGTATGGGTATGTGTTAGGTAGTAGTGGTGGTAGTGGTGGTTGTGTAATACTAACGGCATCGCCCTCTTGAATATCGGCCAACTTTTCATTGTTGGTCGGGTTTATTGTTGAAAATGTTTTACCGCTAACCGAGTTATGCCATTCATTGTCAATGAATATCTAATTAATAAAAAAAATTAATAAAATAATTAATAAAATTATTAATAAAATAATTAATAAAATATTAAATCATTAAATAGTTTATTTTGTATTTAAATTATTTAGACTTAAATGTTTATTTAAAAATAATAAAATCTATACATTTATTTAATTTTTTATAAATAGTTAAAATAGTAAAATATTTTTTTCAAGTTTAATAATAATATTAATTAAAAAAAATAGTTAATTAATAATAATTTAATTTTAAATACCTGTGTATATTTGACAGTTGGTGCCATTTTTTGATATATATATATATATATATATATACTAAAAATGTGAGATATATATGTATTAAATATAAAAATTTTTAAATAAAATTTTTAAAATAAAATTAAAACTACTATTAATAATAATAAATAAGTTGACAGCAAATTAAAACTTATTTTTATATACAATATTATACTAACCTTTTTTGTTTTGTTTATCGATTAGTTTATACTATAGTTTACAACAAATAAAACGATATATGATATCAGTGTCTAGTAATAGGAGATAAGTAAATGTGTGTATTATTTGCGATAAAAATATTTTGAGTTTTGAACTCAAACTTATACTAAAAGTTTATGTTATTTGTATTTTAAATTTTTTAAAAAAAATAAAGTGTTTTTCTTAAATACTAAAAGTTATTTATAGTAGTTGTCGTTAGTATTATATATATACTGTATATACTGTTAGTAAAGTATTTTTTATCTCTCTCTCTCTCTCTCTCTCTCTCTCTCTCTCTCTCTCTCTCTCTCTCTCTCTCTCTCTCTCTCTCTCTCTCTCTCTCTCTCTCTCTCTCTCTCTCTCTCTCTCTCTCTCTCTTTCTCTTAGACATCAAGTAATAGTAGTAATAATAACTGTATATTAATTAGGGGATAGATTTGAAAAACTGTACGTTTGTATAGATCCCTCCATCCCTTAAAAAAAATCCCCCCAAAAAAATTAATGTAATTTTTATGTAATTGAAACTTACATTTTGTCTTTACTGTCATTCAATTATTCATACATTGTTTAAAAGATTAGATTTTTAAAAAAATAAATAAATACTAATATAAACTATTAGATTATTATTTTTTTAAAAAAAAAATAATTATAAAAATACTAAACTAAATTAATATATGTATATATTGGGAAATTTGGGTCTAGTTCATAAGATCTAAACTCATTTGACCCAAACTTATTTGACCCAACTCATTTGATCTAAACTTATTTGACCCAACTCATTTGACCCAAACTCATTTGACCCAAATCACTTGACCCAAACTTATTTGACCCAAATCACTTGACCCAAATCACTTGACCCAACTCATTTGACCCAAATCACTTTACCCAAATCATTTGACCCAAACTTATTTAACCCAAATATTTATTATTTTATTTTTCAAACTATATAATTATATATAAATAATACAAACTTAATAATTGGAAATATTCTGGTTTTTTTTTAAATAAATATGTAATAACTTAATATTATTAAGTTCTAAATTATTTTATAGATTAAATAGATTATTATATTATTTATATAATTAATTAAATAAAATTATTAAGTTTTATATTACTTATATATAATTATAGTTTGAAAAAATAAAATAATAAATATTTGGGTCAAATAAGTTTGGGTTAAATGATTTAGATCAAGTGATTTGGGTCAAATGAGTTGGGTCAAATGATTTGTGTCAAATGATTTGGGTCAAGTGATTTGGGTCAAATAAGTTTGGATCAAGTGATTTGGGTCAAATGAGTTTGGGTCAAGTGATTTGGGTCAAATGAGTTTGGGTCAAATGATTTGGGTAAAATAAGTTTGGGTCAAATGAGTTTAGATCTTATGAGTGCGACCGGGGAAATTTCCTTCAATTTTATAAAATAAAATTGTTGTCTCTCAACGCTAATGTTAATTAAGGACATACAGTATATATATATAATACTATGAGTGCATTGTATAACTACAGTATTTAATAGATAGACATCTCATCATTAAATAAATTAAAAAATAAATTTTTTTTTACTAATGTTAAACACATTTAGCAAAGATATAATTATTAATAATAATAATAATAATAATAATAATAATAATAATAATAATAATAATAATAATAATAATAATAATAATAATAATAATAATAATAATAATAATAATAATAATAATAATAATAATAATAATAATAATAATAATAATAATAATAATAATAATAAAGTAATATATTATATAATGAATGATATCTTCTTTTTTTATGTGTGTCTTTGTCTAAAAAAAATTAAAATTTATATGAGTTTTAAAACTTAAATATATATATATTTTTTATAATCAATTTCAAGGCTATAATTATCATACAGTACTACTGTATATACCATAAGATTATATATTATTATGATTTATAATATTATATTATTTATTATCATATTTATATTTAAAAAAAAATAATTTATTGACACTTTTATGTTATCTACTACAATACTGTATATATAAAAAAATAAAATACTATTTAATGTTTTTATGTAATTTTATTTTAATCTACTAAAACATATATAAATTTTAAAAATTTTGTTAAATTATTAACCTTGAAAATAATTTTTTTGGGGGGGAGGTTAGGGGGCGTATAGTGTGTGTGTGTGTGTGTGTGTGTGTGTGTGTTTGTGTGAGTATGTGTGAGTATGTGTGTGTGTATGTGTGTGTATGTGTGTGTGTATGTGTGTGTATGTGTGTGTATGTGTGTGTATGTGTGTGTGTKTGTGTGTGTGTGTGTGTGTGTGTGTGTGTATGTGTGTGTGTGTGTATGTGTTTGTGTGTGTATGTATGTATGTGTGTGTGTATGTATGTATGGTGTGTGTGTATGTATGTGTGTGTGTGTGTGTGTGTGTGTGTGTGTGTGTGTGTGTGTGTGTGTGTGTGTGTGTGTGTGTGTGTGTGTGTGTGTGTGTGTGTGTGTGTGTGTGTGTGTGTGTGTGTGTGTGTGTGTGTGTGTGTGTGTGTGTGTGTGTGTGTGTGTGTGTGTGTGTGTGTGTGTGTGTGTGTGTGTGTGTGTGTGTGTGTGTGTGTGTGTGTGTGTGTGTGTGGAAATATAATAGTTTCAAGTATATTTATATTAAAATTAAATTTTGTTTTTTCAAAAAAAATAGCTAATAAATTAAAAATTTATTACATTATAACAAAATTACATATTGACTGATATTTATTGTAAAATTAAAAAAAAATTTCAGATAATTTAAAGATATAGTAGATATTGTATTGTATTTTTTTCATTATTTAATTTTGAAATTTATTAAAATATTTACATAAAAATATATATAAACTTTTTTTGTTATAATGTATACCATAACCAGGGTTTTTAAAACAAGGCAATAGACAATAGATGCCAATTGTAGGTAAATGCCTATAAATGCCAGTCTCTCATATATTTTCTGGTTATCTATTATTATAATTTTATATTATTAATTAATTAAAAAAAAATATATTATTTTATAATTTTTAAAATACTGATTTACATTGAAATAAAAATAAATAAATATTTTTTAATTTAGAAATAATAACAATTATTATCTAAGTTTACAAAATAATAAATTTTTATTAGTAATTTTTATAATAATTTTTTTTTTATTAAAAAATAATAATTATAATTTTTCAATCAATTACTCAATAAAATCTCTGTTAAATATTTGTTAACCATAAATGGCTCTTCCATTTGTGTCCCAATGGGCCGCACAATGATCTTATTGTGTCTAATCTTAATAGTTACCCATTATCTATGCAAACATACATGTGCTGCTGGCATACATGTGCAACACACATATATCATTATATATAATACTTTAAAATAATGTCATAATTTCATAATTTTGTTTGTAATTGAAATTTTGTCAATCAATTTGTATTAACTTTTTTGATAACAAAATAAAAAAAAATAACTTTTTTTTGTAATAAATTTTTAATTAATAATAATTATTATATAAAATATAAAATTATTTTATTATTTTTTCAATCAATCAATCAAATTACTGAATAAAATCTCTAATATATTTGTTAACCACTAATGGCTCTTCCATTTGTGTCCAATGAGAACAGCCGTCAATGTAGCGGACGGTTAGATTGTCGACATATTTGTGCGCAGCGGCTAACTGTGGGGACAGATAGCTATCTTTAGTACCTAATAAAACCAAATCAAACAAACAAATTTAATTTAATTAAATACTACTAAACAATAGTTTTATAGCTAACTGACCCCAAATGATAAGCGTAGGTATAGTCGAAACCCTGTAGCCATTGCTAGGCTGTACAGCCGTATTATAGCCCCATATCATAGCCCGATACCAGTTCAATGGTCCGGTAAACCCTGACCTATGAAATGTATATTTATAGGCATCTAAATTATCACCCGGGCCTAGAACCGGCTGTCCATTAGCCTTACGAAACGAGTAGTCAAATATATAGTAGTCGTTTGACTGTAATGCCAGCTCCGGTAGTTTAGGTAGACTAAAGAAAAACATATACCACGATAGGAAAAATTGTTGCCATCCCTGTGCCCTGGCTTCGCGATACATCATCGGATGCGGACTATTAATAATAATCAATTTGGATACCAGTTCCGGATATTTTAGGGCAAACCCCCAGCCAATAGCACCGCCCCAGTCGTGGGCAACCAATACTACATTACGTAACCGGAGTTCCGTTAATAGATCCCTGAAATCGTCGACAATCTTATCGATTGTATAGTTATGGATACCCCGGGGCTGATCTGTTTGACCGTAACCCCGGTTGTCCACTGCTATGACATGATAGTCATCGCCATTATTGCCGCCGCCGCCGCCACCAAACTCACGGATCTGATGGCGCCATGAATACCAAAACTCGGGAAAGCCATGTATGAACAGTAGGGTCTGTTTTGCAGTCAATGGATCCCCTTTTGATACATAATGCATACGTATTTGCTGTCAAAATAAAATTAATTAATTAATTAAATTAAAAAAAAATTTTAGTATAATTTTTAAGTATAATTTTTAAGTATAATTTTGAAGTATAATTTTGAAGTATAATTTTTATTATACTTTTTAACTATAATTTTTAATATAATTTTTAGTATAATTTTTAGTATAATTTTTAGTATAATTTTTAACTATAATTTTTGGTATAATATTTAGTAATAATTTTTAGTAATAATTTTTAAGTATAATATTTAAGTATAATATTTTATTGAATAGTATAATTTTAGTATAATTTTTAACTATAATTTTTGGTATAATATTTAGTATAATATTTAGTAATAATTTTTAGTATAATTTTTAGTATAATTTTGAAGTATAATTTTGAAGTATAATTTTTATTATACTTTTTAACTATAATTTTTAATATAATTTTTAGTATAATTTTTAGTATAATTTTTAGTATAATTTTTAAGTATAATTTTTAGTATAATATTTAGTAATAATTTTTAGTAATAATTTTTATTATAATTTTGAACTATAATTTTTAGTATAATTTTTAAGTATAATTTTTAGTAATAATTTTTAGTAATAATTTTAAGTATTTTTTTTAAATTAATTGATTAGTAAAATAAATTATGTGTTTATTTTTTGTTGTTGTTGTTGTTTATAACGTGATATTAATTTTCATTATTAGTTTATTGCATATATAAAAAAAGTTTAATTATTATTACTTTATATTTTTTTTAGGTATTATTTAATTCAGGAGATTATATGATATATTTTTTTTATTTAATTATTTTATAATTTATAAATATATTGTGTATATATATATTTTTATACACTATTATATCATATACACTAATATTATTAGTGTATATATATATATATATATATATACCTTGAGTTGGACGTAATGATGTGTTCCCAGATCGGGATCCTGTAGACAATCGGGTGGTACATCCCGGCGCTTGATATAGAAATATTTTGAACCATTTTTAACCATTGAAATCAATAGATAACACGACACTAGTAGGCCATAGACTGAGGCAATAGTGGCCACTATTAGTTGGGACACAAATTTTTTCATTATCAATAAATAAAATTAATTACATATATATATTAAATATAAAATATTATATAATTAATTATCATAGAAAACATAAAATTTGTTAATTTTTTAAAAGTCTAAATTTTCTTAATTAATCTAAAATTATTTTATGTTTATATACATTATTATATGTTTGATTGTGTACTAAAAAAAATAATTATGTATTTTGACTAATATTTTTGTTATTATTATTATTATAGCTATTTATGGCCATTATTTTGTGTACTGTATTATCTATATAATAGTTATATATATATATATATACAGTATATATATATATATATATATATATTTGTTATTGAAGGCCAAACAACCATGTTGAAAATAGTTATAATGTATTATACTGTATATATATATATATATATATTATATACAGTAGTATATACCGGTATATTAAAAAGGACAGGGATGTACTCATGTGCACTAGTAGTACAGTAATAGCAATTATTTTAACATTGAGATTGTACTAAAAAAAATTTAAATTATATAAAATAATTGATAAATTTTTTTTATTAACTAGTCTATGTTTTACTATAGATTATTAATATATATATATATATATCTTAAATAATATGTATGTTTAAAATGTATTATAAAACTTTTATAAATAAACTATTTTCTAACTATATATCGTATATATAAAATTATATAATTAATTATAATCATAAATATTACTAAAATTAATTTAGTGTTTTTAAAAACTTTTGAAAAACAATTAATTATAATATATTTTTAAACAAAAATTTTTTTAAAACAAAATGTAGACATCATTTATTAATGTCTATACATGTAATATATGTTATATATCTTTTAATTAATTAATTACTATTTATTATTTTTTAAAAATTAAATTACAATATACAGGTGCAGTTATATATATATATATATATTTATATTTTAAACTTTGTACTGTATATATATAATTAATACAATTATAATAATAATAAAAAATTTAAACTATATTTTGATGATATATAATACATGTGTATAAATACCGTATAATATATATATATATATATATACTGTATATATAATATATTGCATAATATATATGAAATACTTTAGATATTACGTAAACAAACCGTTTTCATAGCAATTATAGATTAAAAATAAAACGATTTATTTTGTTTGAAGTTTCATCACTAATAATAATATACAGTATTATATGATTGTTTAAAACACACATTATATTTACAATTTAAATATTTTACAAACAAGTGTCAAGTATTAAAAAATTTATATTAAAATAAAACTTAATAATAATTATTATTAATTGTTTTAATATATGTTTTTCAGTATTTTTTATAGTATAATATTTTTTTTTACTACAATATATTGTATTGTAATATAAATAGTTATTAGAGAATATTCTTGAATTAAATTTTCAATAATAATAATAATAATACATTTAATTAATAATTTTTAACAGTTATTAAAATATAAATTATATATATATATTTGTTGTAATTTGTAAAATAATAATATAATTAATAACACGTTATGGACACACGTAATTAAAACGCACGTGAGATTTTTTTTGTGGGTATTTACTAGTTTTAAATATACAAAAAAAAATTTAATTTAATTAAATTTATTAATTTTTTTTTGATTTCAATATTAATATTATTATTAATTAATAATTTGTTTGTTTTGTGATTTAATATCATATAATAATAATAATAATAATAATAATAATAATAATAATAATAATAATAATAATAATAAAAATGTTAACAAATTATTACGAAAAACTAGACATCAATCGTAAGGCCAGTCAACTGGACGTCCGTAAAGCTTTCCGTCGGTTAGCCCTACGCTATCATCCGGACAAAGCAACTACCGGTGCCGTCGGTGATACAGCCAATGGTGGCCAACAGTTTCGGGATATTCTGGAAGCCTATCGGGTATTAAGCGATCCAAACAAACGTAAATCATATGATAGGTCACTATCGCCGCCGACAACGACAACAACGCCGCCGAAAGCTAAACACCGACGACAAGACACCCGAAGTTCCCGACGTTCAAGTGGTGGCCGTAATCATCACCAAAACAAACAGAAATCTAGTCCTACCGCCGAAGCCGCCGCCCGCAAACCAACTGTCCATACATTGTATGTATCGTTGGCCGACCTAATGACCGGCTGTACTAAACGCTACAAAATCAGCCGAAATCTATGGCCGTCTGCGAACAGTCAGTCGTCGATAATATCGGCCGATTATGTGACCATCGATGTCAAACCCGGCTGGAAATCGGGTACTCGTATAACATTTGCCGAACACGGAGACCAACCGGGTTATGGCCAGCGGCCACTGGATGTTGTATTTGTTATCTGTGAACAACCGGACAAACAGTTTCGGCGATCGGGTAACGATTTGCTATACAGTTGTCAATTGACGCTCAGGGATGCTATGAGCGAACATGGCTTTCGGATACCGACACTTAGTAGCACCGGTAGTGGTAGTGGTGGTAGTGATAGTGGTTTTTCTGGTAAACCGTTAGCCCATATAGTTATGACACGCGAACAGTTGATTAAGTTCTATGAAAACAGTTCCGTAGAGATAAGGAAAGTTGGTTTAGGACTACCCGACCATAAAAATCGCGATATCAGAGGCGATCTCATTATAAACTGTACGCTAAAAACATATTAATATATTATGAATATTATAATTATTGTATGATTTAAATAATAATAATAATAATAATTATTATTATTATTATTATATGATATAAACGTTTTTTTTATTAAAAAAATCATTTTTATTATATATTGATTTTATGATTTAATTAATTTTGTTTAATTATTATTATTGATTCATTAAACTAATAAATAATAATAATAATTGTTAACTAAATTATATCAATCAATTCATTAACTTATTATAATATTTATAATATCGTATATCAATAAAAAAAATTTTTATTATATATATAATTAATTCAATATTATTTTTAATTTAATTTTAATAAATAAAAAATAGTTATTACTGTACTAATTGTTTTATTATAATTATTATTATTAATTGATCTTAAAATTTAATAAATTTTCGAATTTACAGTAAAATATTATTATCGTAATTGAAAAAAAATCTAAATAAAAATATTTATATATTAAATAAAATTTAAAACAAACAAAATATTATTTGTTTAATTTACTATTATAAAAGTTAAATAATAATAATAATAATAATAATAATGTATTAACTATTATATATAAATTATAGCTAAATATAATTAATTTTTAAGACTCTCTGTATATAATACTTTTAAAAAAAATAAAAAATTAATATATTTAAGTATTATATTTGATTTATTTTAATAAAAACATTGAACTTAAGCAAAATTATTTTAAGATTAATAAATTATTTTTTTTAATAAAATAATTTATTGTATCTATAAAGTTATTTTAAATTATAATGCATTATTCAGCATAAATAGACAGTAGATTATACTGTATATACACTGTATATATATATATATATATAATATTATTTTAGATATTTTAGACATTGTTTAAAGTTTATTAACTTATTAAATAGTTATATAAATTTCCATTATATAAACAATAAATATTAATTTAATATAATTAAAAAAAATGCATAATAATATCAAATGTTAATAAACTTTAAACAATGATCGCCCAATAATAACGATTAATATTTTTGTAAAAACAATTAGTGAAAATATAAGCATTTTAATTGATTGACATATAATACTAATTTTTAAATTTTCATATATTTTACAATAATCTTAAATAAAATAAAATTGTCTAATTTTAAAATTATAATTATTAATTGTAAATACTATATTTTAAATAAAATGTAAACTTTTTAGTAAATGGTAAGCCTATCAATGATTTATTTATTTGAAATAATATTTATAAGAAAAGCATGAGCATGCTAAAAAAAAGTATAAATAGTGTGAATTTATTTTTATAAACATAATATAGTTTTAAAAAAATAATTTTTTAATTATTAAAGTTTTTGTTTATCTATAATAAATTATTTTATTTTATTTTTATTAAAAAAAATGAAATTGTTAATTGTACTTGGTACTATATTGACAATTGGTTTAATGTCAGATTTGGGCCAATCATTAACTGTTGATGAATTGAAAAGCCTTGTTTGCCGTAATATTATTATATTTTAATTTTTTTTAAATAAATAAAATTAATTATATTATTATTATTAATTCTATTTATTAAAATTATTTATTTAAAAACTTTTTATTATCTATCTATAATCTAATCTAATCTAATCTAATCTAATCTAATCTAATCTAATCTAATCTAATCTAATCTAATCTAATCTAATCTAATCTAATCTAATCTAATCTAATCTAATCTAATCTAATCTAATCTAATCTAATCTAATCTAATCTAATCTAATCTAATCTAATCTAATCTAATCTAATCTAATCTAATCTAAAAGTGCTTAATTCAATATATTAGATGATGCATGTATGTTGAAAACATATTATTCCAACAAATGTGTGGCTAATCTAAAACTAGAGGGCACTGTTGGCAAACAATTTGATCAGTATATTTCCGAGCTCAGGTATGCCATACGTATGTTGAATAAAAATTTTAGCGCTTTTAATCCACTGAAATGTTGGCATCTATATAAATCACCCTATATCCATTCGGACCTAAATCAGCTAGCTGAAAATTTAACATCCACATTGAAAAATCATCATGGTCTATTAGATGAAATCAGAAACTGTTTCAAATGTAGATAAATAACATTTAAAAGTATTATTTATATATATATAATACTTTTATCATTTGATTATTTTAATTAATTAATTTGATTAACTATAATCTATATATGAATACATGAAAAGAATAATAATAATTATTAGTAAATTATTAATCAATTTAATTATTTTATATGATTAAAACAAAATATTTAATTTTTATTTAATTTTATGATAAAATTATTGTTTATAAACTATTTGAATTTTAAAACTATTAATTATTAGTTTTTATTGTTGATATAGTTAAGTACTGTATAATGATTTTATTGTTATTATTATTATTTTAATAAATTAATCTTTTTAAGCAATAATTTATGTATAATATATGAGAATTTTATTATTATTATTATTATTATTATTATTATTATTATTATTATTATTATTATTATTATTATTATTATTATTATTATTATTATTATTATTATTATTATTATTATTATTATAAACTATTAATCAATCAGTTAATTATAAATATATTCAATTAGCAATTTTATTTTAATCTTAAAATTATTATAATAATTAAATGAATTAGTTAATAAAATAATAAAAATTATTATTATTAGTTTTAAAAAATAATAATTAAAATATAATAAAATCTCTATAAAATAATAATTATTTTTTTTATAAATTAAACAATAATTATAATATTCATTCATTCAGTATATTTTAATGTGTTTTTTGACGTACAGTTTATAATGAGATCGACTATGAAATCGATATTTTTTATGGTCGGGTAGTCCTAAAACCAACTTTCCTTATCTCTACCGAAACTGTTTTCATATAACTTATAACCAACTGTTTGCCTGTCATAACCAGGGTTTTTTTTATTAGAAAATAAATGCCTGCCCTGGCGATGCCCAAAATGGATGCCATAAATGTATGGCATTTTTATGCATCTATTTTATTTGCCTGCCAATTGAAAAATTGTTAAAAAAAAGCATCTGTATCGATAAAAAAAATATACTATAATTAAGTATTTAATATTAAATTAAAGGTATACAAAACAAAAATACAAACATCTTAAAATAATTGATGTCACCACCAGGGTTTTAAAAATAGCAGGTATAAACAATAGATGTCTATTTTGACAAATCCCTGACCCGCCACTGCCATGGCCTGGGCATCTATTTTCAGGTACTGATACCTATAAATTTAATTTTGTATTATTTATTTATAAAAACATTGTTTAATCGATATTTTTGTTTTGTATATCTTTATTTAATTGGTAATATCATTGGAAATAATTATATTAATTCTAAATTTAATAAACACAGTTACTTTTTTTAGCAATTTGATAGATGCCAGGCATTTATGGTATTTATTTGGCCATTGCCAGGGCAGGCATTTATTTTAATTATAAAAAAACCCTGGTCACCACCTGAAAATAGATATCCAGGCCATAGCAGAGGCAGCCAATTTCGATAAAAATAGGCATCTATTGTATATGCTTGCCTTTTTTTAAAAAACCCTGGTAATAACAATATATGCTAACGATTTGCATAAAATCCACTATCACTATCAACGCCTCCACCACTACTACTACTACTACTACTACTACTACTACTACTACTACTACTACTACTACTACTACTACTACTACTACTACTACTGCCGGTGTAAAGTGTCGGTACTGTCGAAAGCCTGAATATAATAGTCCTAATTATTGTTTTCAATGTTTTGAATTAATTTTTAATCCAAACCGTTCTCAATGGTCCCGGATTACTGACTGACCCATCAATATAACCAAAACCAGCAAACAGTGCCAACTTTTTATCGTTGTTAACAATATGACTGTCGGGCAAACAAATACTGTTAACCGTATAATATCTGCCATCCAGTTATCTTTGAATCCCTATATGACTATTCAGTTTCAATAGTCCGATATCATTGATATTCTTATCTTTTGGATAATCTTTATATTGAAACCATTTGTCGATACCGTATGTATGTCTATCATCTCCCGTATCCTGAACTGTCCGAACAGTTATAGTAAAATCGGAACTAATAATAATAATAATAATAATAATTAGTTAGTAAATAATTATAAATTAAAAATTTTATTTTATATTTAAATAAAAAAAATGTAGAAAAAAAATTAATTAATTTTATTCCTATTATATTCTAAATAAATAAATGACAATAAAAAATGTCTTTTAAAAAAACATTTATATATAATAATTAAAAAATTAAAAAACCGTATAATAGCTGCCATTCAGTGATCGGTGTAATCCCTATATATATATATATATATATATATATATATATATATATATATATATATATATATATATATATATATATATATATATTATAATATGATTATTCAATTATCAATAGTACGATATCATCGCTAGATTATTGTCAATCGTATTGCTTGTATGTCTAAACCAATTGGTTTAAACCAGTACTGTATGTATAGTCACTGTCATAACTGCCATAACTGTCCGTACAATGAATACTTAAAAACAATTAGTAATACTAAACAAAAATATTAAAATAAATTTTTTTATTTTTTTTAGAAATAAATTTTAATTATATAACAATTGATATAACAATTTCATATTACTGTAAATACAATTAATAATAATAATTAAAAATTATAATTTATTCAATAATAATAGAATAAAAGCTAAATAATATATAAATTTAAATTAATTAAATTCTAGAAATTTTTAATAAAATTCTGGTAATTAATATTACATAATATATATATATATATATATTAGTGATAGAAAATAATTTTATTAAAAAAAATTATTTAATATTTAAAAATTTATTAAATAATTTTTTAATTATAAAATTATGTTCTATCAATAATAACAATATTATTATCACCAATATTAACTTTGGGTTTTATTTTATTAATTTTACAATATTTACAACAACAACAACAACT